GCTTTTTGGCACCTCTCGCGAGGTGCAACCTCGCCACTTTTCAGCGTTTCCTATACAAATGCTATATATGTACGCGTTTGCCTTGCTAAGAGCAGACGCTTATCATCTAGCTACAAGAATTATGCACTTTTAGTCTTATTCCGGCTTGGCGCTACACGAGCTAGGCAGGTGAATGCAGGCGTCTAACAAACGGTGAATAGGCAAACGAGGATTATTGATTTGCGAAGCGTCCCTTTGTGCTTTTACTCCAGAATCCTCGCGCATCTTTCCTTCTCCTACACATACTTTACTCTGCAGCTCAGAGACGAGAATTGCATCCATTCTACGCCTCCAGGCGCACTCCTTAATCCATTCCGCTCGTCCGTTTCCGCTTGCTACTATGAGCGTTGCAAGTAACACAACAGACGAGGGCCAGCTCGCAGTAGCCTTCCAGAACCTTTCCAACACAGACCTTCCTTCGGTCGATACCTTGCTCGGCATAGACATGACCATAGGCCACTTGCCTACGCCAGAGACTACAAGCCGCACGCTGCAAGCCTTTCAAATCCGCCTACGAGAGACGGATCATACCCTTCGTAACCTTCAAAAGGAGCACGCCGAGCTCCAGCAAGGCTGGGCCGGACTCGATCTCGTCGCTTCAGAAGCAGAAGCCCGGAACGAAACCCTCCAGCAAGAGCTCAGTCAAGCTCGCACCGACAACACGCGCTTGGGCGCCCAACTCGAACACGCCCAAGCACTTCAGTGTCGCGCACTTCCATACTCAGACAAGTTCAGAGGCGGGCACAAGGACTGGGCTCGTTTTCACACGGAAATGAAGGGGGTGTTCGCGTTCGATGCAGACTTCTTTCCGACGGAACAGCACAAGCTCATGTACCTCTTCTCTCGTCTCGAAGGGGCTGCTCGCGACTCGATGAGCGTCTACTGGACGGAAAATGGTATTGCACTCAAGTCAATCGATCAGGCGTACGACAAGCTCGCGGCGCTTTTTGTCGATCCCGCCTACAAGCATATCGCTGCACAAAAGGTGCGCGACATGCAGCAGTGTAATCGTGAGTATATCGACTACTGGAGCGAGTTTATCTGCGAGATCCATGACACCGACTTCAACGAGACGATGAAACTCTATTACCTCATCAACGGGCTCTCCGATAGAATGATCGACGCTCTGCGCTCCCGTGTCGGATGGCGAGGCTTGTCCTTTGACGAGCTCCACGATCTCCTTCTGGACGTCGACTCGAACCTTCGCATCTATGACTCCATCACCAGTGCGAACCAACGTCGCGACGCCCGCGATGCTGACTTCGAGGCTGCGGACACGACGAGTCTCGACGGAGGCAAATTGGTGAACACGAGCGGCGAGCACGTTGGTACCGCAGCCCTGTCGCTCGTCAACGGACGCCTGACATCGGAGGAGCGTCAGCGCCGCATGGCAGAGAGACTGTGCCTGTACTGTGCCGGCGAGGGCCACCAAGCTCGCACGTGTCCGCGACGGCCTGCCAACAAGAACTCTGCTGCGTAGGCACGGAGGCTTTCTGAGTACTGCAAAGCAAAGGCTGAACAGCCGAAGTTCCAGCGCTCGCTAGTCACTGGCTGCTGTACGTTAATGCTTACTTGGACTGATACTGTGCAAATGCATTAAGAATGCTGGAATGCTTCTCTGCTAGTCTTAACTGAGTCTTGCTTTCTGATGGATCATGGACAATGCTCAACACACCCCTCCTGGAAGTCCTTGGCACCAGACTGGACCAGACAATTCTGGATCCTGCCCGGAACGTCTGTGGTGGACGTCTTGCCGTTCACCTCCAGGGCTCCCTGCGTGCTCGTAGAAAAAGATGGCGGCGGCGAGGATCACGAAAGCAGGCATTGGATCTATGCACGCTCGTTGTGATATTGCAAGCGAAGCGCCATTGTTGTCTGGCATTCTGCGAGCAGGATCAATGGAGCTGAAATGTGCGGCTGAAGGAGGGAGTGTGCTCAATCGCTTTCACAAATAGGTATGCGCAATCGTTCTTGCAACACTCACTTTAATTCTCAACAGCTCGTCCCATCTTGATTCTGGATGGAAGCATACGCTCAAGAAATCAACCCCGTGTCCAGCCATTGATGTCTACAACACTTGCTCGCACTCTTCAGCCAGCTGAAGCAATGCACACCTGCGCTGACGATCTCTACACCGCACCAGCCCTCAACTCATCCATCCAAACCGCCGCAAAGAAGTGATAACCACTCGTGAAAGGCTGCACCTTGCCTTCCTCCTTACACTCTTGCATCCACAGTTCCCAAGCCATCATTAACATGTTCCACTGTTGCGGAAGACAGCGGTCCAGAAGATCTTGTGCTGCTTCCACATCCAAGTCCGTCATAGTCACAGCGTTGGTGGACGTATCGGAGGATTGTGACGCCGGCTTTGAGCTGACTTCCAAAAGTGATGCCGTCGTCGCTGCCTTGCGTGCACGCTTCGCTTCACGTCTCCTTTGCGACCTTCGGCTTCCCGATGGCGGCAAAGCATTGCTCGAGCTGACAGGATTCTGAAACCGCGCCAGCAGATTGCGACGTACTTCCTCAGCGCTGCGAGGTTTTGCGTCCGCTTTGGGTAGCGAGACTGATGGAGCTTTGCGTTCCTCCGCCTCATCCATCGACGGCTTCGGCGCGCGCTTCGAGGAAGGCTGCCTGATCTCCATCTCCTGAACATGATTCTGCTCGCCAGGCTCGACTGCATCCGCATCCATCACTTTCAGATCGTCATCGTCATCATCATCACCTCGGACCTGTCCCTCCTCGTCCTTGACATTTGGAGAGCTCCAGTCGGCAGGGCCACCAATGTGATTACTCACATACATGTCATCCCATGCCCCAGTGAACACGGATGTCTCACGTTTGATGGCCGCCATATCATCCCAAACGCCGGTGAACACGGACGTCTCACGTTTGATGTCGTCCAGAAGCTGCTCCGAAGCCAGACGATCATTGTGGTCTGTAGCTGGCGGCGTAAATGTGGTAAAAGCTATAGGACGTGCAACTCGCTTCTTGACTGCCGAGGATGTGTCTTCGAACTCGAGTGCACGCTTTGCCGAAGGAGCTGCCGGCTTGTACAGAGCCTTGCCAAACTGATCACGAGACTCCTTCTTGATCTTGACAATTGCATTGCTCGTGCGTGCTGCCTCGTGGCTCACTTTCCGCACTGCGGTGATCAGCATGAGCTTTGATTGCGATCAGGGAATTCATCGTGAACGCATTCAGCGAGAGGAAATGGGAGGATGAAATGGCTCTTTCTGCGAGACGAAAGCGAAGTGGATGAACCATCTGCAGCGGCCTGCATCGACCGACGCCAGAGGAACAAGGACGAAAGGAAAAGCAAGCACCCACCTCTGCCACTGAACGAGCACGTCGCCATCCTCCCCCCAATACTGCAGTTCGTACAAGACCCATTCAACGCCGAACCATGCCGATCGACCACACACCGCCGCAATGCACCTGCCGCCACACAACGGTCAGCATGCACAGTCAGACCTGTACACAACATGTACAGTAGATAGCCCCGCTCACCTTTCCCCTCCCTACAATCCTCACACCCCCTAGCCATCGCATTCCCCGTCCGATGAATCGACAAAATCCTGCGATGTTCCAACCTCGCCGTATCCGGCAACATATTCACGACATTCCTCCGATCACTATACCCCTTCCGAAACACCAACCGATTGCGCGTAGGCAAATCCAAACAAGCCACCCAAATCGGAACCTTCTGCCACTTCCTCCGAGTCGCCTCCCCATTCCTCAACTCATCCGTGAGCTTCGCCACAAAACTATCGGTATAATCCGCATTGGGATCCGGTACGAAGATATCAAACGGCATCTCCATTGACGCATACTCCGCAGCTTCTTCAGGCGGGAGGACGCCGGCCTCAAAGTCGGCGATTAAGTCGTCTTCTGTTCCGGCTAGGTCGCTGTATTCTTGCCAAGTGTCGGTCCAGGTCACTTCGTACACACCGCCGCTGCAGCGCGTGACGTCTTCGATTTCCCATTCCCGACCATTGGAGAAGGCGTATGAGATGCCATTGTCTCCGAGGTGGACTTCGTTGCGATTGAGCATTGTAGGTTTCCATCGGACTAGGTACAGCGTCCTGTCTCCATCGACCTTCTTTCTTAGGACTTGAGCAATTGGCCATTCCATGGTACTGAAGTGATCCGTGGCGCTATGTTTTGATGCTCGACCCATCATGTGCGTTGCGGTGGCGAAGCACTTTCAGCAAAGTCGTATCGTATGCCAACCACCGGCAGATGCTGAAGTCGCTAAACAATTCGAAAAGCGTGACCGACGCGAGACGCGTGAACCATCGGAAGAACAAGCATGGCCTGCCGCAAATGCTCGAATGGACAAGCCTACAGAGCGTGACATCGTGGGAAAGTCTGCAAAATGACCAGCCGGGCACCCTGGCATCAGGAAAAGCCTCCGCAACGAAATGTCTTGTCACCAATGTTTTCATTTAGAGCCTTGCCCAGGAGGAAGTTACTTTCTCTGCGAAATGTCCCGCTCGTGCGTGCCTGGGCAACTCCCTCCAGCGATAAACCTAACCCAGGAAGACGCCGACAACGTTGCAAATGCCGAACGCGTCAGTGTCCCAGGGAATTGCAGGTCGTGACATTCGACGCGCTCTGCATTCGGGCGCAGAAATGCATGCAACAATGCGTGGAAGAAGTCCAACCAGATCCTCAATTCCAGCAGCACGTATGGAATCAGCAAGACGGTTCCGAGAGCGATTCCTGCAGATGTGGCAAGGCATGGCAGAAGTACATCGAGCAATAGAGGACTCCATCCCAGCCAAACAAGAACAGCAGACAGCACCCACGTACGCCACGCTTGAGGATCCGCACGACGCGACTGCAGAAATGGACCTCGCCGGTGTTGCAAAAGACATCTCACACGAAATGGAGGATGAGCTGTACCGATTGACACCAGATCTGAATCAGGTCGCGGTAGTGAAAAGACCACCTTTCGAGGTGAATCGCTTGTCCACAAACCAGAGTCCGGATGAGGAGCCATGGCAGCTGGCAGGAAGTGCTGCTGGCCATGCCGAACCCGAGCCAAATGAGGACTGGAGAACCTTCCCACCGGTGCTGCAACAAGAGACCGAAGAAAGCCACCACCCAACATTCCACAGCACCGGAACCCAAACCCAAGATTTCCCCGCAGAAGAGAAAACCGAGCCAAAGCGCTCCCCAAGCGTCATCAAAGAAGAGGAACAAAACTCTCCAGACGACCGCGACGCGCAATACTCCAACCTCCTCACCCACCACCACCTCCCCCCACCCGTCCTCATCAGCTCCCAAAACATAACCCGCGACCCCCGCCGCCTCCTCTTCATCCTCGAACTCTCCGAAGAAGAACTGCTCAAGCGCAGAAGCATCTACGGCTGTACCCAGCTCTCCTCCAGCTGCACACGAGCATGGGGCGATCAAATCTCCGTCTGCAGCACACAACACAACGACTGGACCTACTCCATCCTCTTCGAAACCGCCCGCAAAGCCAACGAGTCCGAAGGAATGCAAGTAATGCTCTTCGGCTGCCTTGTGCAAGCCGAACGACCACCTCCGCACTCTCCGTGCAGTTTCTTCTGGAGCGACGACCACGATCGCGTGGACGACAGAGATATGGTCACTGCCATGCAACACAATCTTCCCGAATTTGCACACGGGCCGCGGAAGTTGTATAGACAAGGAATGGGGAAGAGAAAAGAGTTTGTGATTTCGTTTGAAATGTGTCCGCAGCTGCTCCGAATCGGGGTGCCACTGCTGCTTCGAAATGGTGAGATCATTTGGGCGTGGTTCAAGGCGCGGTCGCCTTACGAAGATTGTCACGTCTGTGGTAAGCGGCATGCGGCAAGATGCTGGAGTCGTGCGGAGCGTTTGATATGAGTTACTCCCTGCATTCTTGCACACGAGCGTATGCAGCACCAAAAAGACCAGATTGCAATGCAAGCGGAACACCCTCAAGCACTGTCTTTCGTTGTGAACCTTCCTCACAAGTCGCGGTAGCCTTCATTGTCCTGAATCTACCCTTATACAGTGATCGTTTGCGAACATCTTGTGTGCTCTGCCTCAGAAGTAAGGACTCTTTGTAGCTCCTTGACGTGACGCTCGAGCCGTCGAGCGCATTGCAGGCCGTGCAAGCGGGTGTTCATGACCTTGCGCTGACTGCTTCGAGAGGAGCGCTGTCTCAGGACTGCGATGCGGCAACTCCTGCGACGAAAGATTCGTAGTCGTGGGCTTCAATTTCTGCAACACTTCGTGCTCAACCAGAAGTTGAGTTCCAGCGCTCTCGGCAGCGGCAGTGTCACCGCTGTACAATTGGTCGAATAGATCCTGCCACTGTACTGTTTGCTGTTCGGTCAACTTGGACCAGATCAAGCTCATCTGCTCGCTAGACGGGTCGTGTTCAGGCCGCAGTGCTCGGCGCACGTGGTAGAAGAAGAGCTCGATCGGAAGAGAAAAACATTTCCGCGCGAGGACTTGTCGCTGGCCTTGATCGGAGGCGGCGAAGAGCACTGGGTCGAAGTCATTCCGAGGTTGAAACTTGGCTGGTGCGTGGTCTGGTGAGGCTGCAGTCTCCTTTCCCTTCCACGACGAGTGAGCCGGACTCGCGCTCCGCTCAGTTGCAGCTTTCTTCACCATAGGCTGAGGATGCATTGATGATTCAGCGCATAGAGTTGGATGAGCTTCGCGCCATTGCTGTTTCATCGTTGCAAGGAAGGACTCCAATTCTCCAACATTCTGAATCACATCCAACATGAGAGCAGGCAGATGGGCCATTGCAAGTGCGCGGAGCCGCCTAGCAACCAGCTCGACGCGACATTTGTCGGCGCCTGCTTCCCGCAGGCTGTCGCACGCATCGTCGATCCATTGTGGATCTACGTCGGCGGGCGAGCAGGAGACGCGATGGCCGAGTGCGTGGCAAAGGACCTTGCCAAGCGCCATCGCGAAGAAGCATGATACTGGCGGCTCAGCCACAAGGAGATTGAGCGACGTCTTGAGCTCTTCTGTGCTCGTTGATTCCGAGGTACTGCTCTTTGCTGAAGTCAGCGTATGGCATGCGGTGCGCATCGAAGATACTCGCCTCCACCGATGTTGAAGAGAGCGCTCGCCGAAGCGGGCTGGAACATTGCCTTTTCGCTGGTATGGAGAAGCTCCCTTGTGCCTGACGAGTGCCCAACTTGGTTTGCAGTTGCCGATGCAGTTCTGCATGTCGATTGGATTCCATAAGCACAGCTCGTGCCTGGTTTCAGTGGGGTAGATGCGCATGATGGCGTGACAGTGCTACACAACGCGACGTGGAGGGCGGAAGGGAAATAAGGTTGTCGTTCGCTGCCTTTCGATTGCATGCATCTTGCGTCTCGTCAAGCTCGACTCCAAAGAATGCCCCAGATGAGGCTCAAATTACTCACAGGGGCTGTGATTGCCAGACCATGCAAGAGCATGGGTATGCACTGCACCAGATCAATTGAGAGGAGGGGCTCCAATTAGTGATTCCGGGAACACTTCTCCAGCGCTCGTTGTGCCTCACTGTCAGGTCGATGTTTTCCTGGGCAAGTGTCGGCGGCACAGGGAGCGCCAAGACCCAGTTCATCCAGGGAACTGCGTGCTTTCTGGAGAAGTCGCTTGTTTGCTGGTCGACGAAAGCTCGATCGAGGAGGCATAGTCGTCGAGGCTATCCGGCGGCAGAGTGACCGAGGCGATCGATGTCGCGGCAGCCGACGCCAGATCAAAGACATCCACAGCTACGACAATGGCCGATAGCGAGAATCATCAACAAGAGATATACGGATCAGGGCGTCATCGAGCTCAAAGCCGAGTGGCAGCCCACAACAGTGCGCTCCTCGCAGGTCTCGACCGACGAAGACAACACTATTTGGGTCGACATAGACGGCGAACGGACCAAGGGAGTCAGGAGGCGTGTTCAGGTCGGCGTGCATGAAGGCTCCGGTGAAGAGTTGTGGTCCATCGAATGGAAGTCGACATGGTGAGCGACAAAGGAGCATTTGCGCCTGGATGCAGCTGACGTCTTCTTCCGCAGGAGAAGTGTGTGGGGCCTGGCGGGGGCCATGAACGCTGTCTCCGAGTATCAGGAAATGCATCTCGATGATGTGAGGAGAAAGGAGGGTAAATGGTGGCGCGTGTCAAACCTTGGCCCTTTGGTGCAGCCGGCAGAGGGCGAGCCAGCACCTGAAACGCTGTTGGATCTTGTCGATGGGCGCTACCTCGTGCCCGAGCGAGGCAGAGACTACACTCTTGCCATCTCTGCAAACTTTTTTGGATCGCTTGATGGCATGGCGTCAAAGGCCTCGGTGCGGTATCTGAATATGCCTGTGAGGCAGAGACTTGTCTTTACGGACACATACATTGAGTCTCTCGAGTCGAGCAGAAAAAAGGGCATCAATTTGCGATCCCATCTGCGACTCTTGTTAATCTACGTGACCGGACTGGCCCGAGGTGTTGACATGTGCACGCGATGTGAAGCAGGATATGGGCCACTCCCCAAATGGTATGCTTCGACATCCGTGCCGCTTGCGCGAACCAATGCTAATGTGTGCGAAGTGTGATTGACGATACGGCGGCAGCAGGAACTTGTGTCAATTGTGCAATATCGATCTCTGAGACATCGAATTGCCAGTGGTGGCATCACAATCGGCGTGGCGACCGGCCGTCACTCTGGAACCCCGCGCTTTTGGAAGCTGACCCAAGTGCAGATGAAGGAGCTGGTTCAAGTGCAAATGGAGAAGCCGTGGAGCAAGCACAGCGTCCAGAGGCAGCGAACTCCATCCGACCTGATTCAGCAGGTTTGCTCGTGAGTCCGGACACTGCAGACCATGCAGGCCCAGCGCATCGCGATGAAGATCCAATTCAGGCAGGCGGCGCGACGCCCGTCGGATCTTCCTCTACTCTTGGCAGGCAGGATCCGTCTACAGCATTTGTCACGCCTGAATCTGCGAGGACTGAAGACCAAGGCATTTGCGACGATCCTCGGGACTCGATAACCAAACCAAAGCTCGAGAGCCCAAGGTAAGTAAACGATGCGCGAAGAGCTGTGCTCTCACTGACTGATATGCCATGAGCGCCGAGCACCGCAAGCAATCGTCGGAACCCACGCCTGGCCCCTCGAAAAGACGTCGACGCGATGCACGAATGAAGAGTCCTTCGTGGATCGGCAAGCACCGCACTTGCACCAGCGCGCGATTCGGTCGTCCATGCCGAGACCCTATCGTCGGAGCGTGGGACACACCTTCTGATGAACCGGTGCGAGTGGAGCGAAACCGTGTATTCGCATATGGAGAAGCCAGCGATCGAGACGTCAATGATGTCCTGCGCTGCTGTCCGTGTGACCAGGCAGAGGCGCTCGAAGAAATGTATCAGCTGTACTTGGAGTCCCAATTGACGGCGATGAGTGATGAGTCGTTGCTGAGCAAGGCGGAGTGCATCGCGAAGGTCTGGTATGAAGAGCTCAACCAGGCCGTGAGGCTGTATTGTCCGGCTCCTGGGCAGCCATCTCCTGATGCGCCAGAGTGTATTGAGCTAGACTGAATGGGGCCGTTCTGCTCATGATGGACATATGGGAAGTTGTCAGTGGCCGTTGCAAGGGCGAAAACGTCCAGGTCGTGTTTGTTGTGCTGTGATCAGGCAGAAGAGCAGTTGTGTACGGCGACGGAAAGACCACGGAAATGGTGGAAATCATGGCAGGCGAGGTGGAGCAACGGCCGCATCGGGCCGAGAAGCACAACACACCGACGGCAGTCGCGCTGTCGTTCTTTCCTGCGCCTGCGAATTGCGCAAGTGCAGCCTCGTCCGTCACTCCTCACACTACTCTCTACAAATAACTGATCCGCAGCGCACACACTCCCTCCCACGCGACTGTCGTGCGATGGCGTCGCTGGACCTCATCACGGGCGCATCCATGGCGTGCGGCTCTCCACGGGAACCCCTGCGCATTGCGCACGCCTGATTGGGTCGCCTGCACGAACACGAACTGTTGCTTCCAGATTTCCCGCTCTGCCCAGTGCAGGAACATGGCCGTTCTCGTACGCCCGCCCGCTCAACCTCGCTCGCGCCTTCTCCTGCACCTGCACCACCGCCGCCTCCGGATGTGCTTGTGAGCACGCCGCCCTGTGCAACCTCACCATAGTCGCTCGTTTGCCCGGCGACAACTCGAACGACATCCTCTCCAACGGCGCGCGCGAAACGACCCGGCCGGCCAGCACATTCCACGGTTGACACCTCCCGCATACGGCTGCCCCATCCGCGACGACCTCACGAGGTTCGGCAGCAGCACTCCCATCTCCGCACTCCCTTCCGGGCGATCCGATCGAGATCGAATTCGAAACCCATCTACAAACAGCAGAAGTGAGGGTGCGGCGGCCATGGGGCGATACCATCAGCTCGCGCTCGCGCTCTTCGCGACGGCGGCGGTCGCACAACAGGGAGTTCTCACCAACGGCAATAGCAATCTGCCGGCATGTGGACAGAGCTGTCCGCTGCTCGTGCAAGCCGCCCAGGCCTGCTCGGCAACCGATGTGGCCTCGCAGAGCGCCTGGATCTGCTTTTGCCAATCCGCCTACCTGGTGAACTTGAGGTCTTCAGCCACGGGCATCTGCGATTCCACTTGTACGGGGGCCGATCTGCAGCAAGTCAGCACATGGTATAACACGAACTGCGGCAGCGACAATGGTGCATCAGCACACGCAAACGCGGGGTCAGGAACGGCGGATAGCACCGCAGCAAATGGTGGAGGGAACGCAGCGGGCGGACAGACCACGCAGTCTTCAGGTTCCTCGGGCTCTTCAGGCTCTTCAGGCTCTTCAGGCGCAACAGGAGCCAATACGCTCAGTGGAGTGAGCACAGGCGCGGACGATCCAGGGACGTGGTGGGAGAATCACTATGTGAGTAGCGCCCTTCAAAAAGCTGGCTACGGTCTTCCAGGTCTCCGTGGAGGTGGTCGTGGAGACGAGGATCGCAGTTGGACTCTTTGTGGACAGGAGAGTGCATGCGCAGTACTGACATCTTCTGCAGAAATGGATCATCATGCTCATCGTTCTGGTGATCGCATTTCCACTGATCGCATGGGGCGCTGTCGTGCTCAAACGGCGGCACGATCGCAAACAGGACCAGATCACAGGAGGCTTCAACGAGGGTATCACGACCCGACCTCCCATGAGTGACAACAACATGAACAGGTGAGTCGACGGCCGCAGCACCGCATAAGGTATCCGATCCAGCCTCCCGGGACACGATCGCCAAACTCGCAGTCCTGGCGCGCAAAGAATTGAACGCAGCAACTGACGGGGACCTCGACACAGATCCACAGCATCAATCCCTATGGCGGCCGCCGGACCATCTGGCAGCGGGAGAAACTCTCCACAACGCACGCGAGAAGCGTTTATGCCCGCAGGCTATGGCTACTCACGCAGCAGCAGCCGCAACGAATCGAGACAAGGCGTTCATCCTCTGGCGCGAGGAGAAACACCCGCTGATATCGTGGAGAGGGGACCAAATGATGCTGCATCCGGGAAAGGAAAGCGGGTCATGGTCCAAGAAAAGAGCGTCGGCGAGAGCAGTAGCGATGGCAAAGATGGCTCGTGGGTGTAATACTGGTATACAAAAAGATCTCTCTTGGTCGGAGTCGCTTGCTTGGATGGTTCGGGGAAGGGTCATGATGTCACGCATAATCTTTCTTCTTGGGTGTTCTTGTACATGGCTCGACTTGGGCGACAGTCTGGATGCAATGCAGTGCAAGCACAAGATCTTTTGGTTAACAACTTTCTTGTCCTTCGCGTTGCTTGTGGTCTTGGTAGGTTCTTTCGTCTCCTCGGCTGACGGCGACCAGTAGGAAGGCACATCAGAACATCGCGGCAAGAGAAGACGACAAGTCTTGTTAAGGTGTCATATCTTTGTCGCAGCGTTACCATACCGGTGAAAGAACATCTGCATCGACCTCTGTAGCAGCCAGAGCATACGCGAAAAGCTCGCTAGAAAGCTGCACGACGTCGGCAGGTCCCGCCAAAGCTCCTGCGTCCGACCACTCTTCGACTTGCAAAAGACGCGATGAACAACGAAGATGCAACGCGCCCATATTTTTACGAACCGCGGAATTGCACTTGTTTGAGAAGAGCATCTGAATGTTTCACGACTTCGAAATCTGACGTCAAAGGTGGGTCTCCAAGCCTTAAGTTACACAAGTTTGGGAAAGTGTTCTCCAGACGCTAACTCCGACTTCATCTCATCTTGTCCCAAACACTCTCGACCATTCATCAATCGGTTGTTCAAATATCCGCCTGGAGACCGTCCGAGTCGAATCTGGAACAAGAGTTACGTTGCAAGACGAAGACTGCCGACCACTTGCTACCCAGACAGCGGTAAGCGAGCTACTCGAGCTGCACTTACTATCAGGTCGACGGCTTTTCACAAGCGGATTTCTGACCGCCATGAACTTTTCTTGTATGCTCGCGCTCCAGTCGCAGGAGACATCACGGTGTCAATAAGTTCTTAAGGCACGATTTCGGAAGGTGCAGCACTGCCACTCCTGCCGCTTCTGGTCACTGATCTATGAAACATGCGGCACGCAGCCAGTTGTAGCACGTGGGAAGTGCAACACTCGAAACTTTCTCGAATACTGCAGGAATTCGACAGGCGAAAGAAGCTGTCACCCAATCACACTCGGGTGGGGGTGGGATGCAGCGTTCGGAAGCCAGTTCTACAGTAACGTAATTCCTGGCCGAACACAGGAGCCGCCTTCCAACATCAACAACAACCTCAATTCGGATGCACGTGCCTGTCGCAACAGAACTCGGCGTTCAGAAATTCTACACAGCAAGCGCGTTTCCCTAGGCCGGGTGGCAGGCGACAAGGCAATCTGAAAATTTCCTGCGCAGAACGTCTTTGGCCTTGAAACGTGTGCCCAGGCCTCAATTCACACAAGCTGAGGAAAAAGCAAAGTGACCGATCTCACCTCACTCTTTTTTCCAGGCAACAATGATCCTACAGAAAGTCCACTCGATCCAAACGAAGCTCCCAGGAAACCACCCAAACAACATCACGTCAAATCAATGACGACCTTCTTCTTTCCTCCTTTCCCTTTACCTCTCACCGGGCAAACCAGCTTCACGGCCTTGTTCAACTCCTGCCAAAACCTGCCCGACAAATTCCCTTCCACCGACCACTCTTCACCATCTTCCGATTCAAGTTCTCCTTTACGCCACAGCTTCTCAAAACTTCCCCTCGCCAACTTGGACAAGATCTCCGCGTTTGTGCACTGGCACTGGCTCACAATGTACCGGACTTCTTCCACAGTCGCTTCGTTTTCCTCGAATTCGCGATCGTTGTACACGAGAGGAGTTCTTGGAGGAGTGTAGTCGGCAAAGGTGGCAATCGGGTCGATGCAAGGTCGGCCGAGAGTGCAGTGAAGGTGATCGTTGAGGAAGAGGATTTTGGTCGCGGAGTGGGTTTCGGACTTGGTGCGCGGTGACGAGGAGGACGCGTGGCGGACGCGTTTGCTTTGATGGGCATCAGACTCGGGAGCAGGTTGCTCTTGCTGCTTGAAGGATGTCACATCTTCTGGGGCATGATCAGGTGCTGCGCGCTTCTTGCCACCATCCTTCTGTTCGATCTCTGGCTTTTTACCTGGTCCGTCATCTGGCATATCAACCGGCTGCGCATCTGGCTTTTCGGCCAATCTGAGATCTGGCGTTCGGTCTAATCTACCACTTGAGCTCACATCTGGCCTTGTGGCTGACCTTTCATCTGGCTTTCCATACACTGGGAGCACCGGCTCTTCCCCTTGCTTACCAAGCTTTTGGACCTCCACAGTCGATTGCGGTGGAGTATGGAAGACTGACGAGGGAGCTTTCGCCGAATCCGTCTGAGAGACTCTGCTATCTGCCGGTGACGCGCGCAACGTGGATGATGATCGCGGTGCTGGCGTAGATCGAATGGGCAAGTTCATCATACGCTTGGTGCTCGTCATCTTGGAAGCACCGGATTGAGGTATCGCAGGATTGTGAATCCGACGCTGGATTCCTGGCGCACATCGCTCCTGGTCGGCTCGTTCAAACGTCTGATTCCCTGGCACTTGCTCCGCTGCTCGCTCCGAGGACGCCTGAGATTGAGTAGGTGGCGTTGAGTACGCTGCCGTAACATAAGAAGCTGCGGTCTGCTGTGACAGTGTAGGAGATCGCGTCGACATTGTGGGATGCTCACCCACTATACATCCTCCTGCTACCAGCTGCAAGAGTTTCGGAGGTCGTGGCGTCGATGCGTACAGCTCTGCCGTTGGAGTGCGCGTATACGGCTTTTGGAAGCGGGGCGCATTCGGCAGGTCTTCATTGCCATGATTGCTCGTGGTAGTCGCAGCTGGGTCAAGAAAGTCCTCGTCATAACTACTTGCGACCTCCGAAGCTGGTTCAAAGAAGTGTTCGAAGGGGTCCTCCACCGGCATGCTGCCTGTCACTTCACTATCAACCTGTTCACCCACCTGTCCTCCAACGGTGATTCCGGACCTTGCATTACTTAGGCTGGCCGACACATCAAGATCACGGTTGCCTGCTGGAGATGATCGAACGTCTTCGTGTCGGACTGACTGATGCTTAGCTCCGTCGTGGTATGCACGGTCTAGCGCGATCAGTCTGATAACTCCTGCGCAACACCGGACGAAACTTACGGGAGTTGTGAGACTCGCAACTCGTCTCGCATCCGCCGCGTACGACACACCCGACACAGACGCCTTCGGCCACTCCTTCAAAATAAACACAATACGGGAATGCAGAATTTCCCCTCGCGCACATCGAGCACGGCTTCTCTCGCACTTCTCCGACACAGTATGTCAGGAGCGCTTTGAAAGTCCCTGGACGGCCGATTTCAATTTCTTTGCCAGAGTCTCGAAAACGTTGACTGAATATGAGTGGCCTCCGAATCGGTCTGTTGAGCAGTCTAACGGCTGATGGACTCAGCTTGCTTCTTCGCAGGCAGTATTCCAGCAGAGGTTTCGTGTGATCGATATTCTTGGGGGCAAAGTACTCTTCGTCCTCGTGAATGAAGAAGTCGGTGTGCTCCGGCACCACATATCTGGTCGTCGACGAAGCGAGGCCACTATCTTTGTGACCAAGCCAGAATTGTGGCTCATTGGCGTCAATGTCCTCTGGATTACGCTCGTGCCATTCTGCGATGCTCGCTATGGCATGACCGAGTCGCCATACTGGCCTCTCACTGTCCTTCCAGACAACCTCACATGTGAAGAAGTCTACCGGACGTACCTCCAGGACACCTCGCCACTTGCTGTTATCTATCTCCACTGTCCATTGGCCTTCTTCGTTCAATTCAGTTTGGATCCTTGGCAGCCTCATAGGCTTCCACCTGACCTTGTACCATACGACACCATTCTCCACTCTCTTGGCTAGTACTCTGTCGACATCAAAATCACGCTCGACGGAAATTTTGACGTTGCCACGCCGGTTACCATCCAGGCTGAGCAGATCCGAGTCGTCTTCTCCGACGATTGCGTCTGATTCGTTGTCGGACACGCTCGAGAGCGCAGTCGATGCAGTGGACGCGGATCGGGAGGACAGCTGAGACGACCAGGAGACAGTCGGAGATCTGGTGTCAGATCGCTCAGTCATTGAGGGCTCGCGTGCTTGCAGTCGAGCCGAAGCTCTACGACCGATTGTTGATGCCGGTATACTGTCATCCCGCTCGATTGTTTCCGCGAGATTCCTTTCATCGATACTGTTCATGATGTGGGCTCGCTGCGAAGGATGCTCTCGGTTCCTGTCAGTTACGTGTTCTTCATCCGAAGGAACAGGACCTACGCTGTCGAGCTGGCATTGGACCAAAGTGAGCTCGTCCTGGACTCGGTGCTTGCGATTTCTGTTTCTGTGCACGGGTGGCGGGCGAATATCTTCTGAGATCTCGGTTCTCTACGCGGTCTTGAATCGCCGCCCGCCTCCAGATAATGTGTGACATCAAGCATAATCCAGTCCACAACAGTCGTATCTTGGACAAGCAGAATACACATTACAGCAACAATCACGACGTAGTGTACGAACGCGAACGCGGAAAGTCACACTTTCGACGCGTCTTCCTGGGCCAACACATATCCATGTTTCGTAGAAGTGCTGGAACCCAGCCAATGCTAAGCAATGGGTTCGAAATCCGAAATGACCAAGGAGAGTCTCGGCTAGGGAGAGTGACTTGGTTCAATTCTCATCAATTCTGAATGAATGTCCCTCTCGAGAGACACTACCACCTCTCTCGAGACACTGCTATCTCTCGAGGGACACTGCTACTCCTCGAGGGACACTGCCGCCTCTCTCGTGCGCGCCTTACGGCGCTTTGCGCTGGCTTGTTGCCTAAATGACATCTGCTATCTATTCAAGGGCCTATGCCTTACGCGCTCGGGTATCGTGCGAGCTCGGCTCACTTGTCCGAAGTACATTCAAGAGTGTCGCCAAAACGCCTTGAAAGTGCCTTCAATGTGAGGGGTAGTCACTCTCCCTAGCTGGAATCAGTCACTCTCCTTAGATTTCGAGCCATGGGCTTGAATTCAGAGCGGCAATGTGTTGAAGTGAGGTTTAAGCTCAAACCCTCGTCTTACAGGCTCCGCATCCAAACAGCAGATCCCAGCAGCATATTACGACCTGTAACAGCCGTCAAAGGTGCCAGTCGAGGGCGTTCACATGCATCGTCTGCATTGCCTGCGGAACCATTGGCCTTATCGAACGTGCTCTCGTTGATGCCGCTTCGGCAGTGCTGCAGCACAAATGCAAAAGGCACACTGGCACAAAGTCGACTTCGTGGGACATGGATGCATGGTTTGGAGGAGATGAATCCGTCCAGGTCCAGTCCCATACTTGCCTGCGCACAAGCACTGTTGAGACAGACGCGACCTGTGGACAAGGCACCATGAACGAGATGGAGACGAATACCGTGCGCACCTTGTCAAACAGTAACTCTGGCGACGACAAAGCTGGGGCTGGAGCACACACAGAGAAATCCAAGTTTTCGGCACACAGCGCGTCTGTTGATGGTATGACACTACGATGATCAAGAAAGCAAAGCAGCACGAATCTGATGAAGACGATGACGTGTACCTCGAGGTCAAGCAGGAGGTGTTCGGCACCGCGAATCGACAGAAAAATCCTGCTGCTCAGGAGACACGCGAGACACCAGCACCAAAGATGTCCGCCTCAACTCAATTACAAGAAGTGGAATGCACCCCTCGCCTTGCGAAGATCTCCAAAGAAACGAGAGCGGCGTTGAAGATCGTCCGCAAGTATGATTCATCTACGCCGCTATACAACACTGCTGTTGGGATGATCTCAGAACATGTACTCGCGTCCAAGTCGGATCAGTCTGACACGACTCTAAGATCGCAGGCATTTGCATTCATTGAGAAGGAACTCTTGCAGAAGCGCACACCTCGAGGCAAATTGACTCTTGTGGTTGAACATGTTCGAGGCAAAGTGGCCTTGACGCTAGCACATAACCTGGCTCGCGTTATCGAGTCCGAAAAGGATCTTAACACAGTCCTCCTGGCCATTCGGTCCGAATTCGAGAGCAGACACCTGGGAAGCGCAACAGACTGTATCACCGCGTGGGCATCTGAGATTTCTCCGTCTGGAAAACGTAAGCGGCACTCATCTGATCCCGCGCCAAGTGAGGCCTCGCCTAAGAGGAAAAGAGTTGACCAGAGCGTGGATACGGAGAACGAAGAAAGCAGGATGAGATCGAAGCAAGGATTCAATCTTGCGCCTTTCCTGGCACTTCGAGACTTGCAAAAGGTGATAGCATATGCCAGACAACATTTCCAAGAAGGCCAAGATATCTTCAACTTTCACGTACGCCGATCAAACTCTATGGGGCCGAGCGACGCGATTTCCACACAGCTGCTCGAATGGTCAGCGCTGTCTGATGCGCAGAAGTACGAGTGGCAAGAACTTCTGGCTGCGCTCCACAGAGGCTCAAGGGCTCCGGTACAAAAGTCTGGCCAGGACCTGTTGAAGCGACACCAGGCCAGCTTGATACCTGCTACAGCCGTTCGAGATGATTCTTCGACGTCTTCCAGCGACAGCAGTGGAAGTGACGATGACACTTCTGACGATGGTGACAGCAGAAAGCCTGCGGAAGCGACACCTTCAGCTTCACAACAACACAACGTGCACAGTTCTCGCGAGGCTACAGAACAACTCGAAATCCCAAGTGAACCGACATCTTCCGCCCTACAGCGTCAGTATGTACCCGACTCTCACGAGGCTGCAGAGCAGGACGGCTATCCGCGGAACATTCCATGGTCTAAGGCGGAGAAGAGAGTACTCCTCAAAGGCATCAATCTCGGCTGGTCCATTCAGAAAATCGCATCAGAGCTTCCATCGCTTCGCCCCCGTACCCCACAGGCGATCTCTTGTGCGAAGAGCCAGATGAACCGAAGACATCCCAAAGGGGTGCCTGTGATCCGAGCCGACACTCCATTTCCTCTTACTGCGGCACCACCACCTCCTCAGCCGCAGCCTATGCAACGAACTGGACCTGAACAACAAAGCACAAGAAGAAGTCGGAAGCGTGCCGCCACTGCGTCCACGAGCGTTTCGCCCATGGTCCGAGCTGGCACTCCGTTTCCCGTTGCTGTCGCGCGGCCAAGTAGTCAACCGCAGCCTATTCAACAATCTGTACCTGAGCGACAATCTGCACCCAAGCGATAACCGCGCCAGACCACTGAAGGCAGTGGAAAGCTTGTCGTGGCTGTCCCTCGGAGCCCGACGAAGTTAAGTTGTGCGCAAGACCGCCCAACTCTCACGACAAAAGCTACTGGCGCAGCTGATGCGACACCAGAGCCGACGTTCCTCCAGTACGAGCCACAGCCTCGGGCGACGGCCGACAACCACGATCTGGAGTATCTCCTGCTCCCGATCGGCACGCCCGAATGTCCGACGAGCGATGCCGACCCGAAGGATGTGACTGAGGCATGTTGGCAAGCGTTTGGCAAACACTCTGCCTTCGAAAAGGCACAAGAGCTGGGCGATAGACTGTGGGTGGCCACATTCCGAAGAAAGGGATCTCTCCCTGTTCCCAAGGTTCGTCTGAAAGATGCAACCATCAAGTTCCGTGGTCATGAGTTCCACGCACGACACCTTTGCTTCAAGCCGCCGAAACTCTTCGATGCAACCTTCTTGGAGGAGGAAGTGAAGACCACCGATCTTGTGGCCGCAATACATGCTGCTTTTGGCGCGTCATTCCGACTACCGCGTCTGACTGTGCAGACATGGCCCGGTACTCCTGGACTTCCGATAAAACGAATCTTCGCGCAGTTCATTGCGAATCCAGGTCTGGTTTCATTCTACATTCCTGTCCAGGTGGCCGCTAGTCGGCACTGGGTTCATGTGCGTTTCTCGCCCTCGGACCCCAAGAAGTCTTGCTGGGTATGCAAGGTCCCTCATCTGAATGGTGGGTGTGAAAAGGCGAATCGTATATCTTACCCGACTGCTTTCGGTGCAAAATGAGCTCACACGGCCTGAGAGTCCGTCACAGTAAACGCAAAGCCTATGTAGCGATCGATATACACACTTGACTGGGGACCTGCCTTGTATTGCCCGAGACTCGTCAGCCATCCTATATCGTTGTATAAGAGTTGTGTGCATTTGTGCATCAGCTGGTCACATTCATCACCGTCATGCCTTCAATTTTCAGAAGCCGATAGCTTCCTACGTCTCTCGGGCAAGTTTTGCTTGCTCTTCATGCCGTAGACGCATCACACTGCTACACCCAAGCCTCGTTCTCCAGTCTCTCAACCACAGTAAGGACTATTTGAGAACGAGCGTGCATTCAAGTCCTACAACGAACACACTCAAGATGGTTGATCTGCGCAGCACGGTGCCATGAATGACATGCTGTGTCTCGCAAGACGGGAGCGGCTGGTCTACATCTGGTCAAAAGCCTTAGTACACGGAAGATGACGCCTGGCTCCGGAATGGAGCCCCAATGGTAATGCAAAAATCGCTCTCGTTCTATGTAATGAAGCTGGTAAACGCGGCGCCTATGCTCCAGGAATCAATGCTCGCTATGTCGATCTTCATCCTCGCCCGTTACTGCTTCCAGAACAAACTTCTCCAGTTCCAACTCAAAGCAGGCTTCGCCACTAGCTCCTCCTTGAACACCGTAGCCGGAGCGACAGTCGCCTCGCCAGTGACCGTCGCAGTCACAGGCACAGCTCCCGCTCCAGCCACCACCTCTTTCGCAGAAGTGATCGGAGGCAAAAGTATCGAAGCCCTAGCCTTCTCCGCAATTCGTCTCCCCAAATCCCCACTATCTCTTGCCCGCTCCGCCGGCCAAAACGTCCACATCGCCAACCCAGTCGCCGCGCCCACAGACAACAGTATCAGAAAACCAGCCGACCTCATCTCCTCCCTCATCCTCTGCCTCTCTTTCTTCAGAGCCGCAACATGCTCAGCCAACAAACGTGAAGCCCTCACCTCTCTCTTCCTCGCCCGCTCCACCAACCTCGCCATTCGACTCCTCTGTCTCCTCGTATCGGCCAGAAGTGCTCTTCCCACAGCAAGTGCCCTCGAATCCCAAGCAGGCCCAACATTCTCCCGTCTGAAAGCCGTGCTTGTTGCCGGACCTGCCGTCTTCGTCTCGCCACGCGTCGGAGGAGTGTTCTGCAACAACCTCTCAATCGGCACGGGATACGGATCGATCTCGCTCGTCTTGATCAATTTCAAATTCGGACTATGTTCGAATCGTTGGAGCTTCGAGATCTTGTTGAAGTGTTGCGTCTCTCGCGAGTTCGAGAGAGCACCGAGCTGGAACAGAATGCTAGCTCGCGAGCTGGAGGTCGTGGAGAAGGCTCGAGTGGCATTTTGGCGAGAAGTGGCTAGCGTGGAGCTGAATAAGGTGCCTGCCATGATTGCTGGTGTGTCTATGAAGGTCAAGAAGGCAAGCACGAGAGAGGGCAGAGGGAATGAGGTCGGTGTATGCAAGGCACGTCGTGAGCGCCTTATCGCCAGAGACGCGGGGTAGACTTGAGGCGTGATCGTCAACGTCGGCCGGAATAACATATGTCCCGGCGCATATGCCTATGTTGCGCTACTGGCAACCACTTACTCCTCGGTAGTTGAAGTGCTTGCTACTCGATACTGTAAGATCAAATCAGGATCTCCAAACCAGCTGGCGGGTTCTGAGCGCTGAAGCGCGTCCACATCGTGTGCCTGGATTCCTCGAAGGAAGACTTGGGACTTGAGAGAACACCAGAATCCTGACCAGACAGCCGTCCTATGTTGAGGAGGGAGTCCGCGACATCAGTCAAAGATCCTGCCCGTCCTCCAGTGTCCGGCAACTTCTTGGGCTCAGTCTTTCTGATGGCTTCATGTCCGGCTATCCGGATATCCATTCAAGTCTGTGGTGCTCGGCAATGGATGAATACATTTCTTGTGTCCTGAACAGAGACTGATGGCAGTCATTTGGTCTATTCGAATGGATATTGGACAGGAAAGTTGATGTCTGAGGAAAGCAGAAGTGAAGTCTGATGGAAAAACTTCGCGCGAAGTGCACTGACCGGTTTTGCCAAGCACTCGCGAGGTCGCCGTCTGCCAGCTGCTCTCCTCTTCTCCATCACAGCCACGGCAAAACTTATCACTTCCATCTTTCTTCCATCGCTGGACGCATCAGAAAGAGAGCCTTTTCAACACGATTCGTTCATCGTCAAACACCGACGCGTGCTGCCGGAAGACTATTAGGCTCTCCGCCACAGCACAAGAAGATCTCACAGCCAGCATAATCATCCATCGTCACATCGCCCCTTTTCACGTCTATCACTTTTTAATCATAATCTCATATCTCATGAATATGTCCAATCTTAATAATACAGCAAACCGCTCACAATCTCAGCCGCCCACATCCCACAACTCCAACCCGGATACCCCATTCACCATCTTCAAGTTCATTTCCACCCGAAAGGCACCAAACGATGCCCAAACAACTTCTTCACCTTATCCCGATTCTTTTTCTCTTGATCATTATCCCACACACTCCCACTCAATCTCCTCTGGCTGCTCGCAGAACTTCCTGGCCGGCTTTCACTTCCACTTCTGGAGCGCGAAGTACCTGGAGTCGGAGGACGAAGGAGCTTGTCTTTCTCTGCATCTTCGCGTAGGACGGCGTCTACGACTTCTCGGATGTTGCCTGCACTCTCTTGGCGAGAGTGGGAGTGGGAGTCTTGGGAAGAGGTGGAGTTTTCTATGTGGCGGGCTAAAGTCAGCTACGGACCGGAGAACACGAGAGCAGAAATACTCACCTCGTGCAGCCATCTTTTCTACGCGATCGCCGCTTGTGCTTCTTCTCAGTCTTGGGCGTGCGCAACGACTTGTCCTCGTGTGTTGTGATTGATCGTCGTATCGCTCACACAGCATGAACTTTGGGTTTTGCGTGAATATTTCCTCGCAATCAGCGCTTCAATTTTAATGTTCGCTTGGACAACTCCCCACGCAGCGGCCAGAACACCCCTCAACCTTTATACATCTTCCATACCTTTCGATGTTCTGCAGTCAGCTGACCATAAGGTGACCCATGCACAGATCTCCGCATCCGTCCGTAAACCGGGGCCCTCCGTATCTACGACATTCTATTGCTGCGCCGCATCGCACGACGCAGGCCAAGCTTCACACGACATGGTTGTGTCAGCACGACTGGCTATGCTGCCTGGCAACATGATGCAAATGCGGTACTTTCACAGAATGTCCCTCAGTTCCTGAAGGCAAAGTAAGGGTTGAATGACATCGCATGAGGGCTATGTGTATTCAGTCACATTCGCGATCACATCCGAGGTACTTCCAATGTGTGCTCAGCCCACGGACTTCGTGCGTAGAAGGCTGTCATTGACACACTTTCTGGCATCCACTGGCTCGCCAAGGATTCCGTATGTGCTGCGACCTCGACCGACCTGGCAATTTTGCGGATGCCGAAGAAAAGAAAGTCCTCCGCTTATTTCACACCATCGCGCGAGAACAAAGACATTCTAACGCGCAAAGAGCAAGCCGCCTAGAGCTTCGACGGCTTCCAATTGGGCTTCCTCTTCTCTCTGAAAGCAGCCAGTCCTTCCCCACAATTCTCTCCCGCAATCAACTTATCATAAAGCTGTTCATGCGTGATCTGGAACGCCCTCTCCACACTCCCCGTCTCCCAAGCCTCTCTCAAACCCGCCCTCGTAACCACAGTCCCGTCCGGCGAAATGGAAGCCATCTGCTTCGCCTTCTCCAACGTCTCATCGAGCACAGACTCCGGAGTCTTCGAGATACCCGCGATTAATCCTCGCTGGAGCGCCTCCTGGGCTGAGACTCTCCGACAAGTCAAAGCAATATCCGTAGCCGCTTGCATGCCAACTGCTCGGACCAGTCGTGGCAAACCTCCGCCATACGCATACACACCCACCTGAGCTTCCGGCAGCCCGAATTGTGCCTTTGGCGAAGCAATCGCAATATCCCTGCAACACAATCAGTCTCACACCTCGGTACCTCAAACTTGTACTCGGTTGCCTACGCATTAAGCACAATCTCAAACCCTCCACCAAGCGCAAAGCCATTCACCGCCGCCAAAATCGGTTTCTTTCCTCTTCGTCTACTACAACCACCAAATCCCGCTCTCGGATGTTCATGAAGGTACGGCTCACTTTTCTTCAGATCATCCGTCGTGAGCTTGGCATTTCTCGCCTCTTCGATTTCGATCAGATCAGATCCGCAGCAGAAAGCTTTGCTCCCGGAGCCAGTGACGACAGCGACTCGCAAACTATCTTGCTCGTCGAACCACTCGAAGAGCTGTTGGAGTTGCCAATTCATGGTATGTGTGACCGAGTTCATTTGCTTGGGTCTGTTCAATGTGACCAGTAGGATCTGGGGCGTCGGGTAGGAGACAAGGACGCCATCCACGTGTGGTGACTTGAGAGTTGATGGTGCCATGTTCGGGCTGGTATTGGTGCTCTTCAGTATCTCTGACCGCGATATGTTGTGCTCTGGAAAGGTGAAGTTGGGTGTAGCCGAGGTGCATCGAGCGAGCGGGATTTCTGCTCCACTGCAACGACTAGCCGCATCGGGCAACAAACTGTACACAATGGAAGTCGTCGAACATATAGGCATGATTGACGCCCTGGTAATCTACGAAAGCTCCATTACCGCAATTAGAATTGGGCTTGTTTTTCGTCTCGTTCCGTGCTGCTCCCCGCCCTGCTGATCAGCGGCGTTCTCGCGATGGTCTCGAGACATCATACCCGTAGCCCACGGATCCAGATCTCGTCGACTTAACACCTCTGGAGTCGGAATGGTAGCTGTGCTCGAGGTCTTCAAGGATAGCTGCTTCTGAGCATTCGGCTGGATTCCCGACGCATAGACACGCAGTAGCTTGCCATCGAGATCAAGCTGCCCTTGCTCGCTTAATAGCAGGTGCACAAGTACCCAGCATGGCAATCGCACTAATGACCATGCAGCTGCCAGTGAACAAAACAACAGTGTCGAATCTGCCAACGCCATATCGCCCCGCACTGATCGTATTTCGCAGGAGAGCACCTCCGATTGGACCAGCGAGAACATTGCCAACTCCCTTACCAAAGTTCAGCAAGCCAAATGCAGCGAAAGCAGCGTTGAGATCACTCGATACTGAAGTGCCCATTCGCGCCCACATGGCAGTATATCCAGCGCCAAAAAAGCCGTAGATCAAGGCGAAGACAAAGAGCACACCGAAAGTCCTGGCTAAACCCCAAGAGACGTACGCAGCAACCCCAGCTGAGAAGGCAGAGGAGGTAACGAGCAGGCTCAAGGGTATGCGACTCTTGTCGGACAGATAGCCGAAGCAGAATTGCCCTAGCACTTGAGCGACGCTCATGATGGTCAAGAGTAGTGCGCCTTGTGATGAAGGAAGACCGGCAGAGGTGGCGTACGATGGCAGGTAGATGGATGGAAAGAAGTAGCCTAGTCCCATCGCCAAGTTTGAGAGGCTGTAGACCCAGAAAAGCGGATTTTTCAAGAATGTCCAGTCCGTCCTAGCTGGCGCCGTATTCTCTGCTGAAGTCTGCGGGACGCGACCTTTCAGCAATGGGATCAATGGGCCAGTCAAAACGAAAAGCCCAACAGAGATAATGCGAAGCGTAGTCTGATACCCATACCGATGAAGCATAGCTTGCAGACCAATCGGCAAAGCAGCTCCGGACACGCCAGAAGCACTGCAAAGAATGCCATATGCGAGACCTCTGCGTGCGATCCAGAACTCATTGACCATACTCAGAATCGGATAGTAAAACACAATGAACCCGAAGCCGTATGCCACACCTTGAGTAAGAATCAACGTTCCCAAATTGCGAGCGAACGAACCAGCGACAAGCCCCAACAGCGCTATCGTCCAACCAATCCAGATCATATGCCGCCTATACCTGGAGTAGCGCTTGATAATCGGGATAACTATTGGTGCGGCCATATACGACAAGCCAGATGCCACAGTTCCGATGACAGAAATGTATGGTGAATCCTTGAATTCAGGAAGCTGAGAGTAATATTCTTGAAAGACGCCGAACGACAACGGAAACCCCCAGAGGAGTGCTTCAAAGACGAAGGCTGCTGCGAGGAGTCGCCATGCTGCTTTGCCGCGATCGTGTGGAGGGAGCGACTGGGCGTTCGCATGGGATTCGTCATCTTGAGTTCGGTCTTGAGATATTGGACTCTGCAACTCGATCGCCGTTTCATGATTATCTCGAGACATCTCTGCGGTATGGCCATATTCCTAGCCTGCTTTCACAGATATATCAGATCGGCCAGTGCAGGATTTGCCTAGCCGAGGCCTGGATTCTGTGCCGGTGGTAGGCACCGAGGAGCTCCCATTGTTGCCGTTGCCAGCGACACAGTCGGAGAAATCTTCAGGTATTGTGATATTGTGTCAACTTTCATATCTTTACCGCAAATTGGCAAGTGTGAGAGAAGGAGAAGGAGATGTGGGCCGCGACGGAAGCTTCGAAGACACGTCTGCCAAGACCCGTCACAACTTCCTGCGATTGTATTCCAGTCTCTTCTCTAGAACAAACCACTCTGTTCGGCTTCTCAATCACCAAACTTGCCACGACGTCCTATCGCTAGACCACGGAGAGAATCAACCACGACCCAAAATCACTTACGAATTCCATTTCATAGACGCTAACATGCAATCTTCCTATCACACAGCGTTGGCACCTGACCTCTTTCCATTCTCGTAGAAAGACGACTATTCCACAACCTCAAACCTGGCCGTCCTCTCCAAAACCATCTCCACAAGATCTCTATGCCTCCACTCCTCCCTATTCTGCTTCTCTCCTTCCTTAAAAACCTCCACCTTACTCCCCCATCTCCACGAACCCACGCTCGCCATCTTTGATCCCAGTCCGATCTCATACGTACACCCAACTTCAAATCCCCCAACATCACTCTCCGGATACCTTTCCACCCTCTCGTCCCTCTCACTCTTCACCCCTGTACACGCTCCTAAACTCTCCTCCATCTTCCTCAACTCCTCAGCAGCCTCCTCCAGTTTCCTCATCATCTCATCATCAAGCCGCACCTTATCCGCCAGACTTTCCCCGTTGAACTTATGCACCACACTGTATGCTTTCTCCCCAGTTCTTGGTGGGATCTCGACGATATACTTTGAGTCGGCACTGATAACCGCAGACGGAATAGCGAAGACATCAATCACAATTCGCGGAGCGAACTGCCCAGTCCCGCAGTCTTTGAATGTGAGTCCTTCATAATCCAGTGCTAGGTGACCGGAATCGAGAACGGTCCTCCAGCTATCAATCGTGATGGGTTTAGGAGCGTCGACTTTGGCTTCGAGCGTAACAGTGAACTCAGCAGGGTGGGATTTTGATAGACTGGGTGAGTTTGTTGAGATGGAGATGAGGATGCGAGGCGCAACCGGAGGTTTCGTGTGAGTGCCGAAGAGACCGGCGAAGAAGTTTTTCATTGTTGTTGTCATTGAACTTGTGGGAGAATGGTAGCTGCCTGGTGATGGTATGCCTCTGCCTGTGCCACATGCATGCATCGTGACATGTCATGTGCAAATCCTCCACAAAGCTTGGCGATTGCAGTCGAAGGACACTGCATGCACGGAAGTTCGAATATCTTCCCTGTATGTGGAGGTTGGGAATCGTGCAATATGGCATCGTATTGGAAAGAATCACTTCCCATTTCTGGCATTGCAAGATGGAACGCTGGTGCCCTACCACTTCCTCGCAATATCCCTCCCTCCCACCGAATTAAACAACCAACTAATCCCAATCATCAACGTCCTTCTCCAACTCCTCGGCCAATGGTAGATACTACCACTCCTCCACGCAATCCAGGCCGAATGCCCCGTCGTCCATTCCTGCTCGCCTCCAATCACGCCATCTCGCTGCCCCAGGTACGCCAAATTCGGCTTCTGCTTATACTTGAAAGCCTCCGTCTCCGCTTCAGGATTCGACGCTTCTTTGTTCAAATTCTTCGCGAGATACTGCGCCTTCTGCACCGCGACTTCAGCCAGAGTCGGAAGAGAATAGCCTTCGATATCGGCAGCATCGCCAATAGCGTAGACATCTTTGAGTAACTCGTCATATGATCCAAAGACTCGAAGGTGTCCATCTGTCGAGATACGCTGAAGCCTGCCACTCTTCTTGACATCCAATTGCTTCACAAGCGGACTGACGCCATTGCCCGTGGCCCAGATGAGAAGTCCATATTTGATCTCTCCCCGCTCTTTCGTCCAGATCGCACCGGGCTCAACCCTCTCGATATGGCTCCCGGTCTCGATCTTCACACCCCGGCTGACCAGTTTCTGAGTCGCGTACTCGCCCAATCTCTTGTCAAAAGTTCCCAGAAGCGATGTGGCCACATCGTGCACCTCCACACTCAACTTGCCATTGAGGTGCGGATACACGTGTCGGAGGTCATCGTACCACAAGTCGTACAATTCCGCGCAAGCTTCCATTCCAATTGCCCCTCCACCCACGACGATAATGCGAAGGATATCACGCTGTTGAGTCTCGGTGATGCCAGGCGTTGTAGCCGCGTCCACCATTTCCAAGATGCGTTGCTGGATGCGGCGGGCATCTTCTGTGGTTCGAAGAAAGAACGAATGCTCAAGCGCTCCGGGCGTTCCGAATGTCTCGACGTCGCAGCCCGGTGCGAGGATCAATTTCTCGTACGTCAAGGTAAAGTCATGCTCGTCGTGCAAATGCTGCTCTGCAATATCCTTGACTGCAGGTCGACAGAGGAGTTCCTTCTTATCAAAGTCGATGCTCTCCACCGTCGCCTTGTAGTAAGTCAGTCCGTGGGTCAGGTTGCGTCGACGGACAGGTTCCTCGGCGAGTCTGGCTATATCAGCGCTGCGATCTGCCAATCTCGTGATGAAGCATACCGAAAGTTGAACATGCCCGCAGCCGCGCTGGCCAAGAGCGGGGTGTACTGAATTGTCCGAGACGGCGAGATAACGTAGACATTGTACTTTGCTAGTGAAAGTGAGTGTGCAAGCGTGAAGCCAGCCCAGCCGGATCCGATGATAGCGACGGTCTTCTTTTCTGCCATTGTCGTGAAGCGGGTGATGATGGATGCACGGAGAATGGAAGAAAGCTTTCACTGAAGAAACAGCCTTCCCATGTTCGCCAGAAACTCTTGATTGCGTTGCCCTGTCCAGTAACTTTGACGTCAATGGGAACAAGTGAGGAGCCGGAGTTCAGCCGGCGGCATTGCGGATGGATCACGGACTGTCGCGGGGAGGCAGCATGGGCATTGCTCTGGCGAAGGAACAGCGGCTTCAGCAGGATCTCGCGTGGCAGATGACGAGGCGAACGGCTGCGAATTTAAGAGCTTCTCTCTCCAGATCTCGGCCGACTTGATCTTCGCAAGTTTGGAATACCGTCGATTCTGGTAGCGTCTCCGCACCTGTAGCTCCTTGTTGCCCAGCTGTCCATCCCAGTCATCACAGCTTTGACTTCTGACGCCTGCCACGAGCTCGACGCGGCCGTACCATGAGCTGATGCCGCGATCAGGCCACAGCAGAACTCATCGCGGTGCTTGAAGTCGAGTGTGGTGTCCCGCTGTATCCCATGCCCATGTCCCATCGTCACCTCTCTTCCTCACGACGCGTTCAATCCCGCTCCGTCATCTTCTTCTTCGCCACCGCATTCCTCCTCCTCGCCTTGTTTCTCCTCGCTTGCTTCGTCTTCCCCTCCGCGCTCGCAGCACTCTCCTTCTTCACGCTCGCGCCGCCGAAGCCCCTCTCCTTCCCTCTCAACAGATTCGCCCGATGCTGCAGGAGCTTCTGCTTTCCACTGAGAGTCGGAGTGATGACGGTCGGCAACTTTGGCCTACGGCGCATCGTCACCTTCGTCGATGTGGAGTTGCCAGCTTTCGCGTTAGCTTTCAGGAGCTGTTGTTCCTCGAGCCTGCGCTGTTTGGCCAGGCTCTTGAGCCGCCGCTGCAACGCTTTCGACTGAACCGGATCGCCGAGGTTGCCGGACGTGGTGAGCGTCGTATCTCGAGTCTGTGGTGCCATGGTGATGTTGTTATCGTAAAGGAGCAGAGGTGGACTGAGCTTCGCAGATGACTGCTGGCGGCGGGACTTCGCTGCCAAGAGATGTGACGTCGGCATGAAGCTCCAAATGCCGACAGTACTCACATGCACGATGCACAGAGTGCGACGCGTGAAGATGACGCGCTTTCCATGCCTCGAGACCAGTTGAGATTAAGAATCGAGATATCACTGCTTCGCTGTAGGTGCACGCTTCATCGAACGACAATGGAAGTTGAACAGATAGCACGTAGTAATTCTCATAGACATTGGGTATCTGCGCTTTACGCCTCGGCCTAAGTTATCATCAGAACAAACCCATATTCTGCGGTCCCAACGCGCATACTGGATCGCATCTGAATCCTTATGACTGTCGTGCTTTCAGCAAAGTCGCCATAGATTATGGGCTCGTTCGGTGCCAATCCATTGTATGATTTGTATCCAACGGCGTTTGCCAGATCCAATACCGCTTGTCCAACAGATCGAATATTTCAAAGTGTTCCCTCGATGGCTCCGCTTGTCACACAGGTCATGCATAGGGATGATGTGCTGCCTCAAGCACGCCTTCGGGCAAAGAAGACTAGCGGAATGATGACGACAGTGATGATGAGTCCCAGGAAGCTGAAGGCGATCGTGGTGGTCCACTTGGTACAGAGATCTCCGCAGGTGCCAAAGTTCGATCGCAGGACGGCGAGGTTCTAATGAAAACACATCAGTACATGCATCTCATCCTCCCTGTCGCGGGCAAAACTCACAATTCCCGCAGCAATGTAGAAGATCGCAGCCAAAGCATCAAAGACGATCACGACAATCCATGGCAGAGCAGAGACAAAGGCTCCCACGAGTCCAACGAGTCCATCTAGAAGTCCCCAGGCACCAGTAAATGCGGCGAAATAGGACGAGGAGGGCAGGCGACCGAATTGGCAGTTGATGTCGTTGAAGTCGCATACTCGGCGGGCGTAATTGATGTCTCGCACGAAGCTGACGCCCACGCCGAGGAGGACGACGGCGAAGAGGAGCTATTCGAGTGTTTGTCAGTAATTTGTGACGCGAGTGCGGGCCCGGACAACGTACCTGGAAAGCTCGCGCTGCGAGAAGGCCGAGAGTGCTCTTCTGCATGGTTTCGGCGTTCCTGTTCTATGCGATCCCAGCGATAGTGATGTGTTAGAGCTCAGAACTGCGTGAGAATGCTGGAAATTGCAGAATCGAACAAGAAAGGGATTGTCAAGTAAGGAATGCAGAACGGCTTCCCTCTTGTACCTGCCTCGTGCCACCTACGATCCTACCTGCCATCGCGCGACAGGCGCATCCACCAGCGGCACAGCGCAGCGGGAAAAAAGTAGAAATGACATCGTGCAACGCGAAGAAGGTGTAGCGCGAACCAAAGGTAGAATACTCGTGTGGCTTAGCCTGAGACTGGGCGCATGTCGATTGGCTGTGGCTGCCTGTCGCAGACCCAAAGGAGATGGCATGCGGTTGACCGGTGGCTTTGAGTTTCAAGATGGCATCCTTCGTCGACGCAAGTGTGCGGTGTGTCGTTTGGCAGGATCTTGTGCGACTGGTGTGTTTGCCTTGGCCGAGGAGCGACAAGGCGGCATGTTGGCCATGTGATCAGGTCTCGAGGCTCGCACGCAAATCAAGCAATGTTCGAGCTCGAGCTCGAGCTAGAGCTGCAGCTGGTGGGTAGAGCTCTCTGGCAGCTGGGCAGATGGCCAAATGTGAAGTGTCAAGTTTCACGACCGCTTGGTGAATTCCGTCTCTCGCTCATTGCTCGATGCCTCAGGCCTCAGCCCTTATAGCGGCGCCGGCGGCCTCGGCGAAAACTCCGAGTACCACGCAACTGAGGGAGATGACGAAATGAGATTTCAAGATTTGATTCAGCATTTGATGCATATTGATTCGAGTAGTCCTCCCAAGGGGTCCCTGCTTAGGACTCGCCCTCCGGGAACCGAGGCTATCCCAAACATCGTCACCTTTCTGCCTCCGGTACGAATCGCCTCAAAGTCGACAATCGACAACAGAAGGTTTCGGCCCACCCCGAAATTATGGAGGCCTTCCAACTCATCGCGAGGTCGGCCATGTTCGACAACATGAGGACCGACCTGAGCTCCGGCGTCATCGACTTCCACCTCCCGCCATCTGGTAATGCGCAGACCGACAGCTTGCACGGAATGCCGCATCACGAAACGGCGGTGTATTCGCGCCGATGGACAGAAGAAGTGCACGTACTGCACGCGGAAAAACGGAACTTGTTCTCTCGAACGTCACGGAAATGCTCCAGTCTTGTCAAGGCCAGATGCCATGACAGATGCCACTCCGACAGCTCGAAATGCGGACCCCACTTCCACCTCCATCTTCCAGGAGTATGGCGAGGCGGTCATTGAGGACATGCTCGGCTCCTACTTGACGCTCATACACGACCGCCCGCACAGCCTGTTCCACGTATCCTCGCTGTGGACATCAGTACGCCAGAGATCCATATCCTCCGCCCTGCTGTTGAATTTGTGCGCGCTGGGCTCTCGACTTTCTTCGAAACCACATATCCGTGAGATGGCTGCGACTGTCACTGTGCGGGCAAAGCGCGTGCTGCAAGGTCAAATCGAGCAAATCCGTATCGAGAACGTCCAGGCGTACATTCTTCTGGCGAACATATATGCCGCCGAGCTGGCACCCCATCTGGAGACTCTGTACTTTGGAATCGCCAACCGGATGGCTCAGATCCTTGGATTACACCGGCCAGATCCCTCACTGGGCCTCATACAGCGTGAGACAAATTGCCGGATCTGGTGGACCTTGGTCATGGCAGACAACTGGTGCTCTGCTGGCCTAGGCATCCCGCGGCAACTGACACCCACGGAGCCCACCGACATGCCCTTGCCCTTTGATGAATTCACGTTCCAGCGTCTGGAGCTCGGCGAGCCACCCTTACCAGCGACTGCACTGAAGGAAGGACTGTGGGCTCACATGATTCGCCTCGTCGATCTGCTTGGCCCCATTCATCAATTGAACCGACTCGTGGCTGGGCATTCCATCGATGCAGAGGAAGCAGACCGTAGAGTTGCACACATCGCTCGTCAACTGGACGACTGGCCTGCCACACTCCCACCCGGTACCACTGAGTCCCACGCCAATATGGAGTCACACAAATCCCGAGACCTTGGCGGGCCATTCGTTTCACTTCACCTGGGATATCACCACTATTCCACCCTGCTTTACTTCCGTTACCTTGGTACGAGCTCTACTACGTCGACCGTTGCGCATGCCTATGCGAGGAGCTGCAGACAGCACGCGTCATCGTATAGTCAGCTCCTTCGGAAATCCAGGGAAACCACAGGCTACGAAGTCATCTTCCCAACAATCGCGCATCTGACTGTGGTCTCGTCCTCCGTGCACCTTCACACTCTGCTCTTCGGGCGCGACGATGAGCTGAAGCAGGCACGTGCGGACTTGCTGTCCAACTTTGCCGCTTTGATAGATATGAGGAAATATTGGCCATGTCTGGATCACATTGTAAGCGCTGGATGTCTCCCAATCTCGAACGACAGCTGACAAATACTGCAACAGATGAAACGACTTCTGCTTTTCCAGGAAGCTTGCCTGCAAAGCGACACTTCAGCCACCCATCGTGTCGATCAGTGGATGGTGAAATTCCTCACCGAGCACTCGCTGCCCTTGGAAAGAAGAGTCGAGCAAGCTCAGATCAGTCAGATCTCGACACCCAGTCAGTGGTCAGACTCGTCGCAGGCGCCGCATAGTCCTCGGACCCGGGAATGGATGGCCAATCAAGCGTTGTCTACTCTTTGGCATGTTGATTGATCACCTTGCGTCGAGGGTCCTGTGATCTCACCACGTCCGCTGCGTCTCGTGCAGTTTCTCGCACTTAAAGCAGGCACGGTACGAACACACTACTTGGGTTGAGCACCAGCCGCCATTTCTGCTGCGATTGGTACGCCGGGAGATCGACTAAGCACCAGGCACATGATTGTAACAAAACTCAGGGTATCCCATACAGCCGCCGTTCGCAATCACAAGATTTCTCGAGTTCGACGACTGTGGCCACAATACTCCAGCTGCAAACACATGCGCAGTCATAGCGTACATCCACTGCCTACCATCTGTTTGAATCAACGGAATCAGGGTTCACAAAGACTTCAACTCTAGACTTTCCACGGACGATGAAAACAGCTTCGCTGCCAGCACCTTCATTTGTCGCAATAACATAACGACCTTCGTTCGAGTTCCCATTTGAGATATTTGCCGTGGAAGTGGTTTGACGCTTTCTAGGCATACTGGCGATCGAGCAAAACTGGAAGCAGGTCTCGATTTCTGACAGCGGATAAGCACATCAACATGTATCCTTTGGTCTCGAAAGTCACAGGTGTTGCCGCATTTTTGTTGAGGAAAGACCAGTTGTCAATCTGCCCTCCGCCTGGAGTCGGCCATAAACGGTAAAGCTCGAAGTTGGCCGATGTCTTGCGCATCGTCACGGTGGAGAATGGCAGATCGCAACCGCGGAGGCACTTCCGACCCAATGGGCAAGCTGATCGTTGCTGACACCGCTGGTCACAACAACGGACCAGCAAACTCAGCAGTAACAAAAAGCAGAGGTTATAGACTCGCAGCTGCATATACGAGCCAAGTAGACGCTGAGCTAATGAGACACGTCACATTCCCAACCTCTTAGGTCATCCCACTTCGCACGCAGCGTCGAGTTTAAACCTTTTCGGGACAATGCAGGAACCGGGCCTGTGAGTGATAATACCCAGGAGCTCATTGTGGGACCAAAGAAGGTTGTCAACCGCCAGAGATCGTCGTGCAGCGCTGTCACAATGCCGATACCTCTTTGGACCACAAATTCACGCTGCTCCCGCGCAATCCGCTTATCTCTCAATAGAGCTGCCCACGATGTTTCCGACCTTTGAGCGACAACCAGAGGGGACAGAAGAAGCTGACAACATGGCGTGCTCGAACCTGATCACCGACGAGGACCTGCAAGCCATTTGGCAGATCAATGGCGCAATGCCTCGAGCTCACAGACAATGTGTCCACGACCTGATATCGGCACAAGTGAAGAAACAACCAGATAAAGTGGCAATCGAGGCGTGGGACGGCAAGTGGACTTATGCCGAGCTCGAAGACATCGCCTTGCGCTTCGCAATCCGTCTGTGTGGACTGGGGCTGGCGCCAAATACAATAGTCCTGCATCTCGTGGGAAAATCGAAGTGGACACCGCTTGCCATCTATGCAGTGATGAAGGCCGGTGGAGCATCATTGCTGATCGATTGTGATGTGTCACCAACGCAACAGCCTAGACAGAGACTTGAAGACATCATCTCGCAGGCCCGGCCCGGCCTTGTGGTAGCCGGCAAGGAGCACCTTGACCTAGCAAGAACGCTGATCGGTAGCGCAGTTCCAATATTGTCAATCGAGAAAGACTTCGCGAGCATACAAGACCGAGAATTGTGCGTTTCTGGAACGCCGAAATTTGAAATTGACCAAGACAAAAGTCACGAGCGGAATAGCACCGATCAAAATGAAGACGCGACTTCGTGCTTTCCCATCGTCAGCCCATCAGACATGCTCTACATCAATTACACATCCGGCAGCACTGGAATGCCCAAAGGCGCTGTTATCACACACGAGAATTTCTGCAGTGCAATATTCTACCAGCAAGAGCGTCACGGCTTCCGGCCAGACTCACGCGTGTACGACTTCGCATCGTACGCATTCGACGCCGCTTGGTCTAATATGATACATGCCTTGACATGTGGAGCTTGTCTCTGTATCCCATCCTCCCAGGAGCGGCAAGACGACCTGGACGATTCCATCGTCCGCTTCGGCACCACCATAGTTGACTTGACGCCATCAGTCGCACGAATGCTTTCGCAAGAGACTGTCGCCAGTCTGAAGACTCTGATCGTCGCAGGTGAGCCACTGCGAGCGGACGACATGGAGCGATGGCTACCACATGTTGCCATTAAAAACGTGTATGGACCCTGCGAGACCACGCCCACTGCGACTATTGCCGACGTTGCGGATGAAGCTAACATCATCGGACGCGGTCATGGTGTGAACGCATGGGTCGTGGACGCTACGGATGACTCTCTGCTTGCACCAATTGGCCGTGTGGGAGAACTCCTCTTGGAAGGTCCACTGATCGGATCCGGGTATCTGCACGACACCGATAGGACGTCGGCGGCTTTCATCTGCGATCCTCCATGGCTTCTGCAGGGGTGCCGCACATCATCTCAACCCGGCCGCCGTGGTCGTCTGTACAAGACGGGAGATCTCGTCCGCATGCGTCCAGACGGTTCTCTGATCTTTGTGGGCCGTAAAGACCTCCAAGTCAAGCTACATGGGCAGCGGATCGAGCTAGGCGATATCGAGTACCACGTTCAGAAAGCATTTGAGGAGGTCCGACCCTCGTGCACTGTTCGAGTCGTGGCGGAAGTCGTAGAGAGCCCGCGAACAATGCTGGCTGCGTTTGTCGTGGTCGCAGACTTGCCCAAAGCTGCAAAAGAGGACGAGGCCATCGCGCTGCAGGCTTTCGTTGACTCAACACGACCAGACGTTGAGTTGGCATTGCGCGATCGGATTCCTCGGCATATGGCGCCAGCAGCTTACATTGCACTTCCTACAATGCCCATGACTCGCAGTGGGAAGATTGACAGATCCGTCCTGAGAGCGATAGCCGGGAAAGCCGATCGCGATGGCTTCGTACACGAGACGACAACAAGCGAGAGGAAAACTGGGCACTTTCCACGCATAGCGCTCTTGCGCCGTCTCTGGGCCGAATTACTGAACATGAATGAAGATCGCATCGCCGAGGCGGACAACTTCCTACGCATAGGTGGAGACTCGATGGCTGCCATGAAGCTGGTCGGGATCCTCCGCAGAGAAGGCTACTCACTATCAGTGGCGACAGTCTTCAAAAGGCCGGTCCTAGAAGAAATGGCGCTGGAGCTCGGCAAGACCAAGAGACAGATTCCGCGGGAGGCTTCTTCATCCAATGCACTTACCAAGAGAGCTTCCGTCTCGGACAAAGTTGACTTGATCACAGTGGCCGCCCGCCTTTGTCAGATCGCTACTGACCGAGTACAGGCGGTCTACAAGTGCACACCTTTGCAAGAAGACATGCTGGCAGCAACAACGACACGTAAGGATGCCTACGTGAACCGTATGTCGTTCCAGCTGCTTCCTGACATTGACCCGGCTCGGTTTGGTAGAGCTGTCAGTGAAGTGGTAGCTTCGACACCTATTTTGCGGACTCGCATCGTGGACGGTGGCCGACAAGGATTGATACAGGTCGTTGTGGCCGATGAGCACATGCCCGTAGAGGCACCCCGGCATTGCAGTACGGCTGCCTACTGGCAAGAGAGCTTGCAGCACAATATAGGGCTGGGCACGCGACTTGCACATTGTGCATTAATTCGTGATGTCGCAGCAGACGGCGCGTCGCACCACACGTTCATGTTGGTCCTTCACCATGCCGTCTACGACGGATGGACGATGGGACTCCTCATGCAGAACATTGAGCATTCTTATCACGGCCGGCCGGTGCCACCAGCAGCGCCTTTCGCTACATTTGCAGAACAAAGCAATATTCGTTCACGAGAGAGCGAGGAGTTTTGGGCCTCGCGGATGCGCGGTGTCGAGACCACCGTCTTCCCCACGATCCCATCGCGTTCCTACAGACCACGGGTGGACTCACAGATACAGCATCGCATCGTGGACGTATGTTGGCCAGCGTCAGATATCACGCCGTCGAATCTCGTTCGCGCCGCATGCGCCCTAACGCTTGGTCGTTACTCTGATTCCACCGATATTGTTTTTGGAGCCGTCGTGTCTGGTCGTCAGGCGGATGTCGCGGGTATAGACTCGATGCTCGGGCCCACGATCGCCACCGTGCCAGTCCGTGTTCGCCTCGAAACGACTTGCACCGTGGAGCAATTGCTCCGGCAGATACAGGATGGCGCGGTGTCCACCGTTCCGCACGAGCAGTATGGCCTGAGCAGAATTCGAAAGATCAACGACGACAGCAGGCGGGCATGCGCCTTCCAGACCATGCTCGTAATTGATATTCATCAGCCGGCCGCGCAAGCACCAGGTGCAACACTCTTCTGTCCGCAGTCAGAGCCAGGCGCTTCTGAACTCGGAAGCTTTGACGAGCAGGCGCTCACACTGGTCTGCAACTTGGGCAACGCAGAATGTAGCATGGACATCACTTTCGACAGCACACTCATCTCTGCAACTTCGGTCAAGCGACTAGCAGAGACGCTCGCGCATGTTCTGCGGCAGCTGTGTGATCCACGCCTTCAGAACAGCCTCGTCAGTGAGCTAGACTTTCTCTGCTCGAGCCACGCCGAAACGATCTGGAACTGGAATCGGGAGGTACCCAGGACTTACAATATGTGCCTGCATGACTGGATATCACAGACTGCAGGACAGCAGGACGCAGCTACAAAGGCGGTCTGCGCTTGGGATGTCGACTGGTCCTACCAAGAACTTGACGATGTCTCGGCGAAATTCGCTCAGTACCTCATATCGCGTGGCATTGGTCGTGGCGCGACCGTAGTGCTGCTGATGGAGAAGACAGGATGGGCTCCCGTGGTCATGCTCGGCATAATGAAAGTCGGCGCGGTGTCTGCTCCTCTGGACATTCGTCAGCCCTCTGGTCGATTGCACGCAATATTCAGACACCTTCAACCCGCAATGGTCATTGCGACACCAGGTCTGGGAGCGCTAGTGGAAGAGCTCGCTGCACAAGGCATACATTGCCAGTCGGTCTGCTTAGAAAATGCACTCTGTACAGGAATCCTCCACTCACAAGTCGGCGAAATCCGACTTGCAACAGTATCAACTTCTGCCTTGTTATATATTATCTTCACGTCCGGCAGTGCAGGCACTCCCAAAGGCGTCAAGATCACGCATTCAAATTTCGCGAGTGCAATCAAGCACCAGGCTCCCTTCTACCAACTTGGAAGATCGCGCGCCTCCAGACAAGCTCGCGTGTTAGATTTCGCGTCCTACAGTTTCGACGTAGCCTGGTCCAATCTGTTACATGCACTGACTAGCGGGGCCTGTCTTTGTGTGCCCTCGGAAACAGACCGATCGAATGATCTAGTAGGCGCGATCAAGCGTTTCGGAATAACTTTTGCAGACTTCACCCCCTCAGTAGCCCGCATGCTACCATTCGATGTCATAGAGAGTCTCGAGACGATGAACGTAGGCGGCGAGCCACTTACACCGGAGGATGCACAGAGATGGTCACAGCTTACGACCCTTATCAACAGCTACGGCCCGTCAGAGTGTACATCCACGTCGACCATACAGGTTATCAACTGCGAGCAGGGTTTTCGCGGAAGCATTGGCAAAGGTGCGGGTTGCAAGACATGGATCGTTGACGAGCGAAGACATCTTGTACCTCTTGGTTGCGTAGGAGAGCTATTGCTCGAAGGGCCACTGGTCGGTCCTGGGTACGTTCAAAGCTGTGATCAAACAGACTCACCATTTGTCCACGACTTGCCGTGGCTGAGCCGTGGATCAAACGGCATTCCAGGACGGAGTGGTAGGCTGTATCGCACCGGTGATTTGGTGTGTTACGATAAGGCGGGCAATCTGTTATTCAAAGGCCGCAAAGACAGCCAGATCAAGATTGCTGGCCAGCGTGTGGAGCTTGGGGAAATTGAAAGCTGCATGTCCCAGCATGACCGAGTGGACCAAGCCGTGTGCGTGTTTGCCGAGACAGGGCCCTACTCGAACCGCCTCGTAGGCTTCTTCACTGTCCCTGATCAACCTGGCTCAGCGAAACATGACGGTACGAGGCGACTGGGCACTGCCGATATCGAAGATCTGCCGTTGTTGAAGGAGGCGCTGCGACAGCATCTGACACTTCATTTGCCTTCTCATATGATTCCTGCGGCGCTTTGTGCCCTGTCCAGCCTTCCGAGGACCTCAGCAGGCAAATTAGACACGAGGAGTTTGATGCGTATTCTTGCGGAATCCAGGAAGGAGTTGCTGTCCGACGAGCCGAAGCATCTTTCGAGAAAACCTGGCAGTGAGCTTGAACGGCTAATTCAGAAGGCCATTGCTGACGTGCTCGGTACTTCAACACGAGATGTCATCCTCGATCGATCCTTTGTGGCAAACGGAGGCGACTCCATTTCAGCGATGCGATTGGCACCACGCTGTCGCGAGGACGATATCCAGGTCACAGTCACTCAGATCCTGAAGAGCGAAAGCATTGCGGTATTGGCAGACCAGGCCCAAGTGAGCGTTGAAAGTGGCACAGAAGTGGCCGGCCAACCAATGACTGACTTCTCCTACGCGTGCTCTCCTATCCAGCAGATCTTCTTCGCCGAAGTCGACAAAAACAAACTTGAACCATCTGTGTACAACGGGTATTTGCAGCACCTTGCCGTAAGGCTTACGTGCTTCTGCGAACCTCAGGCAGTATCAGACGCATTGTCGGCACTGGTGGCTGACCACGCCATGTTGCGTGCACGATTTCGTCGAGAGTCCGGTAATTGGGTACAGTACTTGCCCGCAGCAGATGCCAAAGCGGAGCCTCTTCACAAGTTCATGTCGTCCACGGTGCCAGATATGGCGGCGGCCGAATATTTGGCAACAGGACTACAATACACATTGGATATCGAACATGGCCCAGTGTTCATCGCGCAGCTGTGTGATTTTCCAGACGGCAGCCAGATCCTCATCATGCTCGCGCATCACCTCGTGGTAGACTTGGTCTCGTGGCGCATCATTGCCGGAGACCTCGAAAACCGGCTGACGAATGCGACTTCTCCAGCGAGTGGGACTTCGTTCATGCTGTGGAACGAGGCACAGCAGGACCGGGCGAAGTCGAGCATATTCAGTGACGCAAAGACTGTGCTACCAACACCCGCGGTCAAGAACGAGCTATCGTTTTGGGGGTTCAATGATGGCGTGACGTCCAACAAGAATGAAGACCACGAAGAGCTGGACATTTTGATTGGGCGCGACATCACCAAACTCTTGCTCTCCTCTGCCAACGCTGCGCTCAGTACCAGCCCTGTCGATCTTCTCCAAGCGGCAGTGTGGCTTGCCTTTTTCCGCATCTTTCCAGAGCGCGATTCTTTCAGTATGTTCACCGAAGCACATGGTCGTGAGCCGTGGAACGAGAATATTGACTTGTCACGCACCGTTGGATGGTTCACGACCATGGCGCCCCTGACTACCGAGCGTCACGATGCGGAGACGGTGCATAGCGTGGTTAGACATGTCAAAGACATGAGGAGACGACTTCCCGCGAATGGCTGGCAGTATTTCGCCGCACGGTTTTTCAATGAAGACGGCCGACTTGCCTTCAAATCACACAACTCGACCATGGAGGTGGAATTCAATTATATGGGTCAGTTCCAAGAGCTCGAATCCTCGGACTCGTTGCTCCAGTCGATTAACTTGGACTGTGCGGATGCGCAGGGCGAATTTCCGGCATCCTCCCTCATTGTCATACTTGCTTCCGTGACCAAGGGTGAGGCGGCGTTCAGCTTTAGTTTCAATCGAGCCCTCACAAGACAAGCGGAGATACGTGAGTGGGCGAATCAACTGGTCCCAACACTCACCGACATCTGTACCACTCTTGCCGATGCGAAGCCTCAGCTCACCTTGAGTGATCTCAGTAATGCTCGCCTGACATATGATGAGCTGGACCATCTGCAAAGCTCTGTGCTGCCTGACATTTGCCGAGCGAACCAGGACTGTACTGTGCAGGACATTGTCACGTGCGCGCCCATGGTGTCCGGCATGTTGATAAGCCAGATGAGAGATCCATCACTATACAATTCGACGCAGACGTATCGCGTGTCGTCGAAATCTGGTCTGCCAGTGCGGCCGAATGACCTGGAGCGAGCGTGGCAGGTCGTGGTGGACTCACAACCCTCGCTTCGAGCAGTCTTTGTGGAGAACACAGACCCGGTTGCCTCGTTCCACCAGATCATTCTGAAAGGCGTTCACGCTACAGTGGTCACTGCGGAGAAGGCTACTGAGACTGCAGCGCGACAATGGCTGCAAAGCGAGCGTTCGCTTGAAGGCCAGAGTCCATTGCGTCCGCCACATCGGCTGCTGCTGTGCAAGCTCGCGAATGATCCTAGTCTGATCATCTGTCAGTTCCAGATGAGCCACGCAATTACCGATGGGGCCTCTGTCGCGATCCTGCTCGAAGAGTGGCAACGAGCGTACGACAAGCCTGACCTCGAACGACACTTAGAACTCATCGACACCGCGCGTGCATTTGCTCAATTGCTTGATAAGATGGATAAAGCTCATCAGTTGGACTATTGGAAGACAAAGTTGAACGACTCGTCCCCATGCCATTTTCCAGCCGTCGATGCACCCCACACCACGAGCTCAGTCACGAAGACGGTGTATGCAGGAATCAGCGAAACAGATTACACCCGGCTCGAACAGTTTTGTCGCGAGAACGACATCACCCTCAGCAGTCTATTCCAATCCGCCTGGGCTCAAATGCTGCATCAATACACTCACAGCGCCGACGTATGTTTCGGATACCTTCGTGCAGGCCGCGATTTGCCCGTCCCCGGTATCGAACGATCCATCGGCGCCTATGCGAATCTGCTCACATGTCGAGTCGACGTGAGCGGACACGCGACCCTCCTCCAGCTGGCCAGGGCAGTCCGCAGACAGATGATTGAAGATCTCGATTTTCAGTATTGCTCTCTGGCGGAAATCCAACACGAGATCAAATGTGGCCATCTCTTCGATTCGGTCTTCAATTACCAGCAGGTGGGTCCAAGCGAGGATGTCAAGCGTGGCGGTGATAGCGCTCCCAGTCTTGTGTTCGAAGACATCGGAGGAGAAGATCCGAATGAGGTAATAAAACAAGTTCAAGCGACCAAAATTGCGACCAGTTTACTGACATCTTGTAGTATGCCGTTTCAGCGAAGATCACAAGCATCGAGAGGACTGCTTCTGTCGTGGTGGAATACAAGACGACTTTCCTCTCTGCGAGAAGTGCCTCGGAGCTGCTTTCGCAATTTCTAGCTACTATTCTCGCAGTTCGGCCAGAATAGTTCTCGAGCGAGGCGTCTTGGTGTTGGATTTGCGAAGGTAGGCAAGCGCTATTATTCCCGCTTACTCTAGGGTCTAGCTACAGGACGCCAGGAAATTACAATGTATTGCTAGATCGAGAGCTCCCGTATGGTCAGAAATTGCTGAGATCCTGATTACGAACGTGATGCTGTAATCACGCCGGGGTCCGCCCAACCATGTGAGCTTTTCCCATCTTTCTAGCATGCAATCTCGGCCTCAGCAACTTCATGGAGAGACACCCTCGAACACAATGCGATCTCATAGCGCTTGCCCTCTCAACATGCTCGAAAAAGAACAGCAAGTTGACATCTTTCGCTGCGGTTATTGCTGAGGTCGCAATAGCCTCTTTTCGATGCTCTTCCCCAAAGCCATCAAACGTGCTCACGGGCAATGAAGTGGCATCGATGATCAAATTTCGATGTGAGCGGCGCAAAGAGACAAACTTCCTCAAGTACCTCATGTCCAGAACGGATCTGTCAGGCTTGGCTCACCCTGCTACTTGCCTTCTGCAGCCGCGACTTCTGCACTGCCCAAGCACGGCAACAGTGAATAATAAGAGCAGCTCCAACCCGCAATCGTGACGAGGGAAATGCAACCAAAAGACGCTACATATCCTTGCCGCTCTAAGAGAACACGAAGCACGTAGGCAGCAAAATGCTAAACATGCCAAACATCTCAAGCAGTCCGACGAATGGAGACGGCCAACCTGATACAGCCATCCCGAACACCAGCCAAGCAAACCCACCGAAACCGGTTTCTCCACACGCACCTGTACAGCCCAACTAAGCATCCACCTATTGCGCCATCCAGCTTGTCGAGCTTCTCATCCACGCCAAGACCAATCACGCGCTAGACCGGAGTACGTCCGTGGACTTCATGTCTCTCATCCCGCCAATCCTGCCGTGTAGAAAGGTGTCGCAATGGTGGATGCGAAGCACGTTGGCCATTAGTAACCCTCGAAACGGCCCACGATTCCCACTTTCGTACCTCTTTTCAGCCGGGAGAGCATGTTCCCTCCAAGCACGTTCTCCGGCATATCGGCTGCGCACTTGCTTGCTTGCGTAGCTTGGAGATGCATAGGCCCGGTCTGTCGCGTGGGAGAAGTTTTGGCAAAGATGTGCTGCAAGGGACCTGATTTCGGTTGGGATAAGGTTCTTATCATCGTCCCATTCGAGGACCGCGCGTGAAAATCGAGAATGAGTGGCAAGTCCAGAGCCTTTACCTATAACAGACGAGAGTCGTCCGGCGCGCGAGACGATGGTGAACTTCAGCCGCTGATCTCATCCTCCTCCAACTCGTCAACGACGAACGTCAAAATGGCCTCGACCACTCCGGAAAAGGCCAATTACACGGTAGAGGCCAAAACAGACCTCCAAGCGTCCAGCGAAATCTCCTCTCCCACTAGCGATGAGCCTCAATCGCCAAATTCTTCCTCCGCAAAACCCAAAGTCCCTTGGTACGCCTACATCTGGGACTACGAACCCAACCGCAGCAAAGAAGAAAGCGCCTTCCTCCACCGTCTAGATACCAGCGTCCTCATCATCCTCTCCCTCGGCTACTTCATCAAAAACCTCGACCAAACCAACATCGCCAACGCCTACGTCAGCGGCATGAAAGAGGACCTCCGCATGAACCAAAACCAAATCAACTACGTCGACGTGGCGTGGACGACAGGCTACGTCGTCGGACAAATTCCCTCACAAATCATTCTCACCAAAGTTCGGCCTTCGATATGGATTCCTTCATGTGAGATGGTTTGGACGATTCTGACGTTTTGTTTGGCGGCTGCGAAGACGAGCGAGCATGTGATTGCGATAAGGTTCTTTGTGGGGTTGTTTGAGAGTATTTTTTATCCTGCGGCGCATATGATCTTGGGAAGTTGGTATAAACCCTCGGAGCTGGCAAAGAGGGCTTGTATTTTTCATGCGAGTTCGGCGATTGCGAGTATGTTTAGTGGATATTTGCAGGCGGGAGTGTATAAAGGTTTGAATGGGACACATGGGCTAGCGGGTGAGTCGAACCGGGCAATGAAGTCGCATGTTTTGTTCGCTGACTGATTGATTGGCACAGGCTGGCAGTGGTTGTTCATCATGGATGGAGTGATCAGCGCGCCGATTGCGATCGCCGGTCTTTTCCTGATCCCAGATCTTCCGGAGAACAGTCGCGCGTTTTATCTGCGTAAGGATCAAATCGTTCTTGCGCAGAAGCGTATGGAATCGGTCGGTCGTGCTCCGAGGACAAAGCTGGGCTGGTCGGCGTGGAAGCGCATCTTCGGAAGATGGCATGTGTACCTGCTCACGATCCTGTACATCATCTTCATCAATACTGTAAGTAGAGATCTGGTGTCCGAGGAGTGAATTTCTGCAATGCTGACAACCTCTCGCAGGGACCATCATCCGGCATCAACCCGTTCTCGCTCTGGCTCAAGGACGCGGGCTACTCAGTCGAGCTCATCAACATCATCCCCACGGCACAGTCAGCTGTGCAAGCAGTGGCTACTGTGGTCATTGCCATTTTCTCGGATTACTGGAGACAGCGAGCAGCGTGGATGTCCGTTTCGACATTCTTCGGTCTGCTGTACTCGATCATTCTGGCCATCTGGGCAGTTCCTTCCGGCCTGAAATGGTTCGCGTTCTTCATCTATCGAATGTCGGTCCCGTACGGGCCGATCAGTATGTCGTGGGCGAAGTAAGTACTCAAGTCCTCGATTTACTTACAGTCCATTGAACCGAGCTGACATTTCATGACAGCGAAATCTGTGGCGCAGATGCAGAAGAACGCAGTATCGTGCTCGGGCTGATGAACAGTTTCGGCTACGCCTTCAATGCCTGGCTGCCACTCTTGACGTATCCGCAAGTCGATGCGCCCATCTTCAGGAAAGGTTTCATTTGGTCGACTTGTGCGTTTGTCGCGCAGTTCGGCATTACGTGGCTCGTGTGGTGGTTCCAACGACGAGATCTGAAGAGAAATGTGGTTCGGTCTGCCTTAGCGTGATCACGGATCGGGTGTTGCAGCAGACTCGGTGGCCTGAAATATGCTCTGCGATCCTGAGATCTTGATATACAATAAGCTCGTACGCAGATTGCAGAATTGATGTCGATAACCACTTCATTCGTATGCCACCGTGGCGTTGCTTCTCAGTCGATGAGTATGAGTGGGTGATGAAGAATTCGAGAGTCTCATGGCAATCGCGATGGGAAGAGTCTCCTTACATCTTCAGCGCAGGGTGGGTCAAAGTGAAATGGAGGGACCCGGGATCGGCATCCGATTGGGTCACACGGATATGTTTTATTATCCGGGCCTCGCCTAGACCACAGACATGTGCAAGCGGAAAACAACGACTTTTGCAGGACCTCAAGACGCCTCTGCGTGGGAGCAATGCACCTGATTCTGCCACACCGCATGGACGCCGCTACGCCACGCCAGCCGGACTGATCCATGGCCTCCAAGAATGCGTCGAACCGCACTTCCGCCGGCTCTCCCGGCGCGAGTGGAGGGCCCTCAGAGAAGAAGAGACGAGTGGTGATTTCCATGGCCTGCGAACGATGTCGCTCGCGAAAGACCAAGGCGACTTTCGCTCCCGGTCGTGACGAGCACCGCGACATCTGCTAACCGCAGCCTAGTGTGACGGGTTAAGGCCATCCTGCACATCCTGCCTGAATCAATCTCAAATATGCCAATATGCCACAGAATTGCCTGCAACAGCGCGGCGGCAGGAAAATCAAGCCCTCCGAGATGAAGTGATGAATCTACGTAGGCTGCTCGAGCAATCGCGTGCAAATATCGACACCAATTCGAGAACGTTGTCCAGTAGCAGCGATGCATCCAGCAGACAGTTCTTCGACATGCTCGGCGAGGTTGTGCAGCCAGCGAGCCTGACCCATAGTGCTTCGCCTTCATATCATGAGACTGTACGAGCGACAATACCGTACACACAATCGGCATTGGAGTTCGAGTTGATGTGCAAGCATCCGAATGCATACCAAATCCTCGAGCCTCACGGGCCTTCAGAAGCTGTCGCGAACGCTCTGCTGACTTTCGCCGAATCGCCATTCCGGTCTCAGTAAGTACATCATGAGCAGCAGCCCCACATACGTTGTTGCGTTGACAATAGATCAGGTTGACTATCGGCGAAGTCAGTCCACCGTCGAGGCTGCGGCAAAAGCATGCCCTCTGTGATGCCAGCCTTCGAGACCTCCAAATCTCCTACTGGACGACCGTGCCTGTTTCCAACGATACCGCTGCCTCGATTATCTCCCTGTACTTGGAGAACATGCATCCCGTCCTCGGTACCTTTGACGCCGATCTGTTCCTCGGTGATCTCCTTGCCCACAAGCTCCGATTCTGCTCGCCATTCCTCGTGAACGCAGTGCTCTACTATGGATGTGTATGTGTGCTCCTGCCACGGAAACTGCGGAGCTTATGAAGTTCGCAGCACCCATATACGGTCTTCGACGCTACTGCACCAAGCCTCGCTTGGCAGTTGTACGACGAGGCGAACAAGATGTGGGAGGCTGATCAGAGTACCGACTCGCTACTCCATGTTGCCGCGTTGGCCAACATGGCCTATGCCGGCTCGAGCAATGGGCACGACAAAGATGGAATGAAATATCTGAAGCTCGCTCGCAAGATGGCAGACCGATTGGGTCTGGAAGATGGCGACCCAGATTCTGCTCCACATGTGTCAGAAACCAACCCGCTGAGCGACGACACTCGATCACGAGCACATATTGCTTGGGGTTATTTCTGCGTCACTTGGTGAGTCTTCCTTTTGCGCGCTGTTCCGTCGTACGCTGACCACATCAGCGGGTACGCTTTCTACTATCAACATCCGCCCACCAGAGCCACCCCGTCTCTTTTCATCCCGGGCTCACCAGGGTTCAAGCTGCCCTCGTACATGGGAACAACAATCAACCACATCTGCAAATTCTGGCGTCTCTGCCGAGAAATCGTTATCCTGTATTCCGGCGCGCCCGAAAACACGGCCGAACGCGTGCCACTAGCAGCCATGGAATCCAAGTATCAGCAGCTGCTTGCACTTGCTGAAGAGTTCGCGGTCGAGCCTTCCCAGGGCACGCGAGTGCCACATCACATAGCGATCTTCCAGTGCGTACATCTCCTCCGCAATATCCACGGATTGAAAAGCTAAGTACTTCGTGCAGAATTTGGTACCATGGTGCGATCGTCACACTCATGCGACCGTGATCCGGAAAGAAGGTCGTCCTCCGAACATTCGACTCCCCGGGCTCTAGTTAGTCCCGAAAGCATCTCGGCTGCATCCTTGCGACAGCTCAAACGACTCATGATCGAGATGCGGCTCTACTATTCGCAAGCGATATATAACATCTACTGGCATCCGTCCTTGCTATTCATCGCCAACGCCGTCCTCGCGAATTCGGCAAACGACCCGGAATGGCAGTTCTACTTCATGGCTTGCCTCTACGGATACGGTGTGTTGAGCACCGCGTACCCTGTTGCGAGCTTGTGCTTCAAAGGCCTGTTGGCCCTCGCAGTGGAGTCTGGCAAGATGCCAGCGTCACGAGCTCGATTCCTCGCGCAAGAGCTGTCACGACATGGGGAGCAGCATGATCCGACGAAATCATATTCGGGCATTCAGATGAATCTCGATGTGGGCGAGTTGAAGGAGAGGCCGGGGACTGTGGAGGAATTGGCTTCGAGATTGGAATCAACTGTGCTTGCTGAGACGGACGATGCGGAAGTTGAAGATGATGCTCTGTTTGATGAGTTGATCAATTTTAGTTGAGGCTTTTACGAGTGCTTGCGTCCAGATACGGTTGGCTTGAGTCGGAGTTGTTCTCATGGACGCCGGACATAAGTCCGATAGGAAAGCGTCCAGACTCCGACACCTGTCCTGCATCCGCTCTGTTGCCGCGACATTCCCCACTTCTCTTGCCACCCAACATCTCGTTGCTTCTGCAGGAACGTCCCCAGTCCCGATGACGACGCAGATTTTCGCCATCGAGACCCTCAGGATCCTGGCTTCCAGGTCTTGGCACGGAGAAATGCGGTCTTCACAGCGTTCGGGAGTGGACTTCCGACACATTGACTTTGATTGCCGCATTTCAGCCCTGTGCACAACTGCACAACTCGCAGCTCCGTGGCGTCGCGTGGGCGCCAGACGTATCTCATAAGCATGCTGGAATCGCTCTGCATCTCCCGCCAAAATCAAGCCAAGTGATCCGATCGGAACCGGGCCAGAAAGCAAGCACATGGGGGATCGAGCAGATTCGGCGGCCAGCGACGTCCTGCTCCACGCCTTTGGCCGCGCCAAACGCCAACAGGCCGCGGCGGCGTGTCAACGATGTCGCGTGCGGAAGACCAAATGCGGCGGAGAGAGGCCTTGCGCTTCCTGTGCCGCCGCCGGTGTAGAATGTGTCTGGATCACACAAGAAAACGAGACCCGAAGGCAAGCCATCAAGCGGAAGCACGATGAAATGCTGCAGGCCACGGAGCCCGTCATGGAGCTCCATAATCTGCTCATGACGGCCGACCAAGACCAAGCCTTTGACATTCTACGTCGAGTGCGAGCGGGCCAGTCCATCCGCGGCGTTCTCGGGCATCACCACGATATCCAACAAGCGCACAACTTCATGTATGAGCAGCGGGTCTATGGGCAGCTTTTCATTTCACTCGCGCAGCCGACAGCCCCACTCAAGGATATCGTAGCCGTTGCGGAGCATATCTTCAACAACTCTCTCGGACTCCACCAAATGCCCGCGCCTGATGCCCTGAGATCACTCCGGAGCCGCGTTATCAAGCTCGAGGAAATCACTGGAAGACTGCCAGTCACCAACGGCATGCTGACTGAGACTCCACAATCCTCCAAGGAGCCGCGTACGAACGGGCATGACCCCAGAGATCAACGCAAGTCAGTACCGATTCACCGCGTTCCTGCATCGCCATGGGTCAGCAGCAGCAGCAGCACTGATGACGGCGTCTCGGATTTGGTCTCCACGTATCTTTCTGTGACCAATCCATTTGCTAGGCATCTAGAACCCGATCTGTTCCTGGCAGACATGCGATCTCGTGATCAGCACAGTCATTTCTGTTCGCCGCTGCTCGTTCATGCAGTTCTCGCATGTGGCTCGGTAGCTATGACTGACCATTACACCTCTTGTTTAGTAACACTGACGATCTGTAGCTATTTTCTGAGCACGACGAGGCTTTCACATACGACCACGACTATCTCACCCGGGGTGAACACTACCACAAAGAGGCTCTTCGATTGTGGGAGTTGGAGAAGGGCCGGGTGTCAATCACGAATGCTCAGGCATTATCGATCCTATCTGGAGAGTAGGTTTTCAGTCTGCTGCACACGGTGCCCAGCGTTGCCATTGACGGGCTAACCAGATCCTCGTGGCGTGGCCAAGATCGGCTTGGATGGTCGCTTCACCAAGATCTGGCGCGCATGATCAAAGACTTGAACAGCTCAGAGATCCCGTGCGACATGGACGCGCAGGCCACACGGGCATACAAAAGAGCTCGCGCCTGCATCGCATCATGTGTCGTTCGAAATCACATGTGAGAAAAACTGTCTACGAACTCGCGACCTCCACTGACCGCATGGCAGGTACTGGATCATGGGACTATTCGGCAAGTCCGGAAACGAAATTGTCTGTGCCAAAAACGCGCCCGACCTCAGGCATATCTTGAAGGATGAAGTGATGCTTTGGCGGCCGTATCCTTGTTCCCGGCAAGATCCCATCCCGATGCACATGAACCTGATGGCCCTGGAGAACCAGTCTCTGAGTGCGTTCTTGTGGGAAATACTCCACGACGTCTGCGCCGAAGATCGAGATCTCACGCAGCCGGCCTTTTGGAAAGGTGTCAGGGAATTGGAATCGAGAATGCGGTATTGGTATCAGTACCTACCGGCTCCACTCCATTACACGCCTAAAATGCCGACACCTCTGTACGAATTCCAGTATGTTTGCATGAGTATGATGGATCGGCACGAATGCGTGGCTGACACGTCCACAGCGCCCAATACTTCGTCGCGCAAATGATGCTCAACGACCACTGGGCCGAAGTCCTCCTCAGCGAAGCCAGCATTTACTTCGACAAAGTCGAACGAGACGCAGTCCGCTCACGTACCCTCCGCTACGCGATCCAAAGCACCGCAATCCTCCGAGACTACCGCCAACACTACGGCTACAAACAAACTCCCCCCTTCCTCTTTCAAGTCGCCGCCATGGTGGCTTCAATCCTCCTCCGATGTATGGATCGCGACAAGGATCCCAGCAAACGCTGCCTTCACGCCCCAGAAGTCATTGCTGCGTTTGAAGATTGCTGTCGATGTCTTTTGGCTTTTAGCATGCATTTGATGCTACCGAGAGGGATTAATCGGATGTTGCATCGGACGGCGTTGGAGATGGGTGTGAAACTTCCGGAGAGTGTGGAGAGGATGTTGGAGTTTTTTGGGAAGAATGTGTGGACAGAGGTGGATTGGAAGAGGATTAGTTCGGAGTATCCGAATATTTTGAGGGGGCCGGCTTCGAGGCCTGGGGGCCAGGAGACGATTGAGGCGGCGGTGAGGGAGTTGAAGATCTAGTTAGAGGATTGAATAGAGGGCAGAAAGCATCACTTCGCCGGCGTCTTAAGAATTGTGAAGCGTGTACATTTATCTAGACAGCTACATTGCCCCATTCTACATCGGATACTGGTGACAGCTGACGTTGGGCTTTCTGTGCATCGATTACTGAACGTGTTCCACTATCTCCGGGGCCCCGGTCTAGTCGTGCAGAGGCGTTGAAGCGGTGTTGAACGCCTGGGGTACTTGACTTCTGTTTGGTGAACGCAGCACGGGCTGAGCAAAAGTGTCTCGAATATGGTAAAAATGTCACTGGAAATAGAGTTCTGATGCAGCGGAAAGATGGCGGGAGCGCTGTCGCCTGTTTTGGGACAAGGCGTTGTAATCAGAATTGCTCTGATACGCTGACCGGATCAGGTGCCGTGCCACAAGCGTGCCTGGATGCCTGACTGGGCATGTATTACGTTTTTGCTCTGCTCTTTCCACCTTTTATCAATCGCACTTGGACTTCACCTGCTGCCATTCATCGTCGACCATACAGCCTCCACCGTGATGAGCTCGTTTCAGTGTTATCCACACAGAAGATGAACACAAGACTGAGAGACCACGAACAAGCCACTTGACAAGACTATACAAGAGCCAGAAACATTGCGAGAGGTTGCATTGCACTCTGCCATCGTCGCGAAACATCTTGTTGATATCGAAACCACATTTTGTGTGCTTCCACTGCACCGCTATACGCCAATTGCTCCAAGCGCAGGTACATTTGCGCGTCCTTCGCGATCACCAGCCCATTGGGTATCCATTCCTTTCGTTCCTTCATGCCTTTGCCCACAGTTCCCCGCGACTTCACCTCCTCATATCATGTCAAACCTCTCTCTCCCATCTCTGCTCAGTGTTGAAGACTGTGCGCCACAGACAGCTCACGAGTAACAGACTCCTCTTCCAGCCCCACACCTACACCCCACCTAGCCGGATCCTTAGTCTCAAGACCACTTCGCGGCCTCCTCCATCACCTTCCTTCCAACCTCTCCAAGTCGGCATATGCATCCAGCACCAGAATCTTCAACAGCTCCGCATCTGCATCCTGCAGCATCTCCGGATATGCCCGAATACTGTCCCATTTGCTCGCAATCTCTCGAATCGGCCACCACCGCTCATCATTGCTGGACATCTGAGCCTCGGAGACGCGACGTACGATTCTGCCGGCCATCGAGATGATTTCACCGAGCAGTTCGCGGGATGAATAGCTGGCGTTGTGCAGCCGCACGTATCTCGGGTTGCTGCTGGGTTCGGTGAGAAGTTGGCGAATGGTCTTGGGCATGTTGAATGTGCTTCTCGTGTGATGGACGCCAATTCCAGGTCGGAATCTCCGAGTCGAAGGCCTCCGTGGACGCTTCCGCTCTGTCGCTGGACGAGATCGAAGTTTGAGAAATGAGACGCGGCCGCCTACCAGGACAGCCTGAGATGCGAACGGCGACTGGAACTTTCGCTCTCAACAAACCTCGCCGACTCTCTTCTTCCGCACAATGCGCGGTACAATAACAGATCGAATCGTTCACTTCCTCTCCTCCTCACCGTCCGTCATCGCCACGGCCAACACTCCGCGGACCCTGCAAAGCCTTGCAAGATCCAATCCGGTCACGGCGGGCGTCCCAGCACTTCCCCGGTCGGCTTCGCACAAAACGAGCCAGGCACGTCTGACGACGAACTTACGACTTTCGCTCTCGTCTCGGAGAAAAGGGAGCTTTCGCGATCGAGCCAGTATGCGCGGGCAGAGTATGCTTTGCTCATCTGATAAGATGAGGCTGTGATTCGAACTTGCAAGCTCTGCATGCGGAAATGCTCCGGCCTGTCCCGATTTTGCCGACCTCGGCTGGATTTTGCAGCGAGCGGAAGCAAGCTCCTTTGGACTACGCGATTCGTGAAGAGAGCGATCGACTGCACTTTGCGAGCTCGTACTCTGGTGTTTCCATGCACGAATGGATGTGCTGAGGAGTGGGATGTTGGTGAACGAGGGGCCCTCACAGTGGGAGTTACTTCAACCTGGCTATGCTTGGCACATCCGTTCTGGAACAACACCAACAATGCAAGGCAAATGCATGCTCCGATATCGATCGAATCGACTGACTCGGCCAATGCAACTACTCGCATGCGATACGAGAGAGAAGGGCCGCAATTTCCGCTACAGTGACCGGTCCTTAATGCAGCGACAGGCCTGGGCTGGTTTGACAACGCATTCGAGGATCTCCACGCCTGATGGGATGATGTGTCAAAGCCGCAACTGATACGTTGCTGTCCATGATGCCCGCTGCGGAACCGGCATGCTCCAGCATATTCGTGAACTCGCGAAAAAGAAGTATCGCGGGCGCGTCTTGGCAGGATATGCCGTTCTGGAACGAATACACCATTTCTGCCAGATGCAGAGCTTGTGGTTTGAGGAGTCAACTCCCGATCAGATTTGCGCATTGTACCCAATGGGTTTGTGGCTTCGACGTCCAGCAACCAATCACCAAACGGACACTCAGCTTCCCCGCTGCAGTAGTCAGCCTTTCTTTACTACACATGAACATGCATCTGGTCGCCAACGCATACATCTACGATCACATCGGCCTGGCAGAAGACTCCTTACGCCTGTACTTTGACAGCGAGTCGTGTTAGCTGGACGCCTAGGACTCGCTTTGTGCAACTGGTTTTCATGCGAGCGATATTCCACTAGGAAAGGACGAAAGAACGCGAAGTCAAGAACGAAGAGCAAGCCATCGAAGCATTCATTGGCCATGACACACCTTGGGCTAGCGATGCTCGGTCCTTGAGAGCCTCCTTCTCCTTCCAAAGTCTTATGCACGTCCGAACGCTCCCATGCCATCGTGAAAGAGGCGGCTGCGATGGGATCATAAGGCTTTCAATGAGCACCTGCATATGCCGCCTCGTTTGACGATCTCGCTGCTCACCCAGCATAACCGGCTTCGTACTTTGTGGGAAAAGGCAATAGCGCAATGAACGCAGTGCAATGGGTGGCGTCGAAGTTCTTCTCCACGATACACGAAGCACTTCAAGCTCTGCCCAGAGGTTTGAGAATGGCCGACTCTCCGGATCACCAATGTTCGCTGCCTCTTATATGAGTGCAACGCCAGGTAGTGGAGAGCGTATGTCGCTAGCAATCGATTCGAGCACTTTCTACGGGCATGGCCATGTTGCTCGAACTCATCACCCGGCTCTCCGCTCTTCCACCCTGGCCATCAGTCGCATAGGATTGGCGAGCCTGCATTGAGTGTCTCCTCTCCTATGCGGAGAGCGAATATTCTCCTCCCGCCTTCTGTTGTTGGACGAGTCGTACCAATGTGAGTTCGCCGAGTTTTGACTCCGACACGCTGATACACGCACGCGACTTCAGTCCTTGCAACATCTGGGGAACCTTCATTCTACATTAAAGCTCAGCCACGGCACAACTACCACATACATCGTCACCATCAACAATCGCGAGGCAGGTCGCTCGAAGCACAACTGCGATGAACAATGCACACAGCCGTGTACCACATGAAGTCGAAATTGTTTGCGACGTACATTTGTGTTCTGATGTTGCACAATATGCCTAAGCTGTGTCTTTACACCAAGCAGCAAGACCTCATGACCTTTTCACGACAAACAGATGCGTAGTATATCTCAACACCCTCGTCTTCTTCTCATCCTCCATCCATCGCACTATCCCCGATTTTCTCAAGCAAGATGCTCCTCACCCATACCCTGTCTCTTCTCCTCCCCATCATCTCCCTCGCACAAGCAGCATGTACAGTACAACAGTACGACCACCTTCTATTCGCATTGAAACACAACTCACAAGATGTCGTGTACTACTAACACATCCTGCCAGATTTCACGGCAACAACTGCGACAACGACAACTCCCCAAGTCCATTGACAGAGATCCCACCAAATGGCTTTTGCCATAAAGCATTGCTGAACAAACACTCCTTTCGTCTCAGCGAAGGCTGCGGGTTCTTTGATGTAGATCTCTGGGTAAGTCTCGTAACCCTTCTCCCCCGAAACGAAAGGAACGCTTTCTTTCTAAATGCCTCCGCCCTTCCCCCACTTTGCAAAGAAACACTATCCTCTAAACGTCCGCAGTAATCACACAAGGAACATAAAATCAATCGATCTGCTAATGTCTACGGTGATGGAATGTGTGTGCTAACATGTTTGATAATGTACATATAGCAAGACGACGAATGTGGACATGGACCCTCGAGGAGCCATCAACACAATCAACATTTTCGGTGTTTGAGGGCGGGGTGCTATAATGTGAATTTGGGGGGTAAGTGGGGGAGTACTTATGTTGTTGGGAATGTGGGAGGGTGTTGAGGGTGGAAAGACGATCTGTTGGGGAGGAGAAGAGGGCTCTTGTCGTTTGGATTGTGGGGAGGTGGGCACTGCGTGAATCTTTAGCGAGAGATGAGAGTGAAAGGGAAGAAGATCGGGTCTAGAGGCCGCTGAGTTGGGAGTGGAGAAATCGGCATGTCTCAGCTGGACTGTGTGCCTGAGAGCATGATCAAGTTCTGTGTTCTCTTCTCCAGATGTAGGCGAAGCTTTTCCACAAGGCGTGGATTCTACCTACCTCGTAGGTCGTAGTCGCTGCGTCGAAACAGATGGAGATCCGATCTCAGCAGTCTAGACGAACGCAAATTGCTTTACAATGCGGAAAATGCAGCTCATTTTCTTTGATACAGTCTTGCTGCTGCTGTCTCAACAAGAATCGATTCCTTCATTTCATAACCGACATTAAGAAATCGATGGGTGCAAACAAGAAGAAACAAGCCTGCGGCTCGAGGATCTCAAATTTGGTTTGGAAAACAAGAAGCTCGAAATGGCCTGTAGTCTGGATGTTGTCATGCGAACACGGGCTGGGGTTGGGGTTTGGGGAAGTTTCAAGGTCTGAGCGAGTTCGTCTCCAATTGGGGCGGGAGGTCATTGAAGACTGCTGCCTTGGCCAACTCGCGGCATCACAATGGTTGTATCTGGAGGAGTCCAATCTGCAAAGCTGCATGCTTGAAGCGTTTTGGAGACAAACAAGCAGACCCTTGTTCGTTTGCGTTGCGACTCGGAAAAACGAATGGTACGCTCAAGCAGAATGATCCAGAGTGTGATCACGATCTCTGTTTCGTGTGCCATTCCGCATCGAGGAAAGAGGCTTTGATTGCGTTTGCGGGCACCAGAAAAACTGCCGATCGATCGAATGCTGTTGCTGCGCGTTTCGACAAGGAGTCTTCAGGTCGCTCTGGATTGAACAAAACGCAAGCCGCAAGTCGGAAGGAATCTTTTCCTTTACAAGACGAAGGATTCTTTGAGCGAAGAGAGTCTGTCCTTTCTGTCCCTCTATCAAATGCCTAAGAAGATTGCCCGTAGATTGTTCCAGACCGCCTTCTCGCCAACGCCTCTTTTGTGCCTGGGAAGCGAAGATGTCCCGATCCGTGAAACATCACCATCCAGGCCAAGAAAATTTGCAGTCGGTCACGAGAAATTCCTATTTTCGCACGTCGGCTTGCCTCTTTAAGTTAGTTGCCATAGTCAATTCTAATGCTCAATTCAGCAATAGCATATTATAATAATAAAATTCTTATATTGCTGTACTATTCCAACTACGGGACAAGCAGCTATCTCTACGATGTTCGCCGAGGGTAAAAGCCCTCGGCCTATAGCCTCCGGCATAAAACCCCTCACCTCCCTTGTGTCTTGTGGGATTCCATCCCCACCCCTAGCGTCTGTTCGGCATTTGGACATAGAGAGGATCTCTATGGCTCCTTCCTCTCACCAGGCACCTAGTTCCCTTCCTCCTCTCTCTCTAGTGCCTCTCTCGCGAGAGAGAACTGTTCCAGCAAACCTTCCCGGATCATCCACTTTGTTGTCGCACATAACCCTCTTCTTGTCTGGGTCATCTCTTGCCACGACGATCCCGCGGCCTCAATAAGCCGTTCTCTTGATTCCTGCCACGCCGGGCAGAACAACAGGACGTGCTTCGGTGTTTGGGCTCTGTAGCCGCATGGGCACTCGGGTGTCCTCCCTGGGACCCTTCTCCTCGCAAGGTAAGCATTGAACCCAATATGTTCCGTCCGGATGAGGGTCGCCATTGTACTTTGTTTCCTTGTCCATCCTTTATGGAGTGTCCTGCCTTTCTCGGTATCCTTCCATGTCGCTGGTAGTTCCTGGCCCTGTTGGGCCGCCTGTCTTTTCGCGACTTGGGCCTTCCATCGTTTGTTCCATTCCCGATGGAGCCACCATGCCTTCGGCATGTACTCTCCCCGTTTGGTACTCTTCCTCTCCTGGCTATTTATCATTGCTACGATAGCTGCCTGTCTTGTCCATAGGGTCTGTGCCTGGGCTGTACCCTTCTTCTTCCTCCTACACTCCTCTTGGACCTGTTTGCACCGGTCTTGAATGTACTTTGTAGCGGGTTTGCCAACTGCTTTTCCCGCATGGTTCCTTGTTAGTTCCTGGGTATATAGGTGCATTGGTGGAATCTCTGTCTCCTTCTGGAGGGCTGAGCAATAGCATATTGCCCGTTTCGGCATCAACCAGACCCTCGAGCTAAGGCCAATGGTCGTAGGCTGTCGTGCCCCAGCCCGTGCTCATTCGTTCGCTCCTTGGCTTCTAAAGCACCAGGCCTCATCGAAGCTGTTCTGCATGCAGACTGGTGAGGATTGGCCGAGAGACAAGCTAGAAGGAAGTCGTTGCATCAGAACGCACCACGCAACTTATCAAGAATCGCTCGGAATGTGGCCGCACAAGGCCATCGCAGTCTCGGAGAGTCAGTATTTCCTGACTTGCCAAGACGGCCGGTCAGCGCTATGTGCGCGAGCAGGTCAAGACCACAGCAAAATTGTACAACCGGTCATTGACTAGGTCACAGGAGCTCGTAAGTGTCTGCCTCCTTGCTCGAACCGGATAGGTTCGTGGCTGCCGCGGTGTAGGCGGATGCAGAAGAAGTGCCAGCAGACTAGTTGTGTGATCAGACTAGTTGTGCGATCTGGAACGTCTCGTAAAAAGATAAGAACCCGAGTCGTGCATCTTCAGCTTCGTCGTTGCGTCCTGCGAAGTTTAATCGTTTCAAGATTCTTTCGTCAAAAACACAAAGCAACAATGAAGTCCGGTCTCTATGCCATCGTCCTCGCAGCCGCTGCCGGTGGTGTCCAAGCGGCTTGGGTAAGTGGAGCACACGTCAAGGGTCGCATCGTCTGGTGCGTTACAACTTACAGTACTTGCAGACCTGCATCCTTCCGAAATCATACGGCGGGACGGCCGTCAATCAATTCGGCGACTGCGTGCAAAATGGAAATTTGAACGACATCTATCCTTGTAGACATCAGGCTGTGAGTCGTTCTTTCATTCTGTCGTCAGTTGCAGGATAGCGGTTGGACATCCTCGCATCGCATGAGAGGAGACATGATGCTGACGAGAAGGATGCTGTCAGTCCACGGATATCGGGCGGTGCAAGGTGCAAGGCAACGGTTGCACGCCTCACAAGACGGGAAGTGAAGAGTTGGGGAATGTGGTCAAGTATGCGGATTGTTCGGCGTAGAAATGCAGGCAAGGTAGCTGGCAATCGCAAGTTTCGAGTTCGGACGAATTGGCACCTTCCGAGGTGGAGGTTGTTGCGTGGTGGCGATGGATGAAGTCTTTAGAACTATCGGTGCTGCATAACCTGAATGCATGCGGGTTCCGCGTTGTCCATGATGTCAAAGAGGACACGCTTTGGGCGACTTTCGTGATGAGATGCTCATGGTTAGCAGGCCTGTGTGCAGACAGGTACCCAGCGCAGAGCAAAATCGAAAGACGAATGAAAGTAATGCATACTTAGCCCGATGAACGCGAGCGCCGCATCGATCCTCACATCTCTGCTTTCCACGGCGTGGCTGAGGTATTCAGTGCCGTGAAGCTAGACCGGTACACGATCGATGTCGCAGCGAGCGATCAAGTGTGAGCGTAGTCGACTGTTCGTTCCAAAGCCCAAGGTCAGTCAGTGATGCTCACAGCGGAGGAGGCTCGCTATCGAATTCTGCGCTCTTTAAGATGGCAGATCAGACGAGATCCATATCTGGGTGGCGTCGGATGACGATGTACAATGCATGTGGTTGGAAGACGGGAGCTTCCTTCGTTGTTCGATTCGTCCTTGGCAGGTACGAGTACGACATATTCGCCGCTGATCCTTTGAGCTTCGATTTTTTTTTTCTGTTCTCGCTGTTGCTGATCTCTGCTTCTGTTAGCGTGAAGAGATGATGACATCGTTCGCGGTCGAGACTGTGGCGACGAAGGAAATTCGGGAAGCAGCGGTGTCCGACGGTGTTCAGTCATCCACGAGGAGAGAGTTGCGCGTCGTCCTCGAACTGGGCAATGCTCGTGCTGGGTAGTGTGTTGGTCTCAAAAGTAGGTGACAAGCTTGGTGGGAGAGTTGCGGCGATGGGCGGGAGAGCTGGGAGAGCTTCACCGTGATGGCGTGGACGCAAGTTTGACAACGCCCACTCGGGAACGGAGATGGAGGACGGATCCGGTGAAGAACGAGTTGATTTGGCTGCCCACCGCCGCTGTGAGCCATCGGATGCATTCCGATGGACACGCGGTGAGGTGAAGAGACTCGCCATCCACGGCCTCGAAGAAGCTGCTGACCAGATTCGGCCTCAGGCTTCCGTCCCCAGCGAGGGACCCGGTCGGCAATAACGCTTCACCTGCAGGTCCTTCTCGTACACGTCCTCTGCGACGGAATTGATTGCTGAGTGCAGAACCTCACCAACGGGACGGACGAAAAGTGCCCATTTCACGCACGCCATCTGCCGGCTGGCGTCATGGATGGCAGCGACAATGGCGAACACCACCCGCCAAGACCGCGCTTGTCCTCCGCGCTCGCTGCATCAAAAGGGAAAGAGCGACCGAGGCTGACTTTTGGGCGGCGCTGATTGGGCGATCGGTGGTGGGGTAGGTCAGGCAATGGCAGTCGCGATCCCCGTCGACCCCGCGCCGCGCCGACGACTCGAGCAGTTGTGGGCAGCAGGTGCAGGGCGAGGCCAGAGGCAGAAGCGCAGCTCGCTCCCTCACTGCCTGTCTGCTCCGCTGCTACAAATGTTGCAGAGGAGAATCGTCCACTTCTCCCGCCGATTCTCTCCTTCTTCCATCTCCTCCTCCTCCTCCTCCTCCAAACCACTCTTCCTCCTCCCGAACATCACCACACATCTCGCACACACCATGGCGACCGAGTGTCCCGTGAAGCACAGCAACGTCGGCGGAGGCGGCACCCGCAACCGCGACTGGTGGCCCAACGAGCTCCGAACGGGCATCCTCCGCCAGCACACCGAGCGAACCGATCCCTTCGGCGGCAAGTTCGACTACGCCCAGGCGTTCAAGAGCCTCGACTATGCCGGGCTCAAGAAGGATCTCCATGCATTGATGACCGACTCACAAGACTGGTGGCCGGCAGATTTCGGCCACTATGGCGGTCTGTTCGTGCGAATGGCGTGGCACAGTGCCGGCACATACCGCGTCTTTGACGGCCGAGGAGGTGGTGGCGAGGGTCAGCAGCGATTCGCTCCGCTGAACTCATGGCCAGACAATGTCTCTCTCGACAAGGCCCGCCGACTGCTGCTTCCAATCAAGCTGAAGTATGGCAACAAGATCTCGTGGGCGGATCTCTTCCTCCTCACCGGAAACGTCGCTATCGAGTCCATGGGTCTGCAGACTTTTGGTTTCGCTGGTGGTCGTGCAGACACCTGGGAAGCCGATGAGTCCGTCTACTGGGGAGGCGAGCAGACGTGGCTGGGCAACGAAGTCCGCTACTCCGACGGTAAGGAGGGTCTTGCCCAGCACGGTGTGGTTGATGGCGACCAGTCCAAGAAGGGCCACACTGATATCCACTCCCGCGACCTCGAGAAGCCTCTCGGTGCTTCCCACATGGGTCTCATCTACGTCAACCCAGAGGGTCCAGATGGTGTTCCGGACCCGCTCGCCGCCGCCCGCGACATCAAGACCACTTTCGGCCGCATGGCCATGAACCACGAAGAGACCGTCGCCCTCATCGCTGGTGGTCACGCCTTTGGCAAGACCCACGGTGCTGGTCCTTCCGACAACCTCGGCGTCGAGCCAAACGCTGCTCCAATCGAGCAACAGGGCTTCGGCTGGAAGAACAACTACAAGTCAGGCAAGGGTGCCGACACCATCACATCCGGTCTCGAAGTCACCTGGACCAGCACTCCCGTCAAGTGGAGCAACAAGTACCTCGAGTACATGTACAAGTACGACTGGGAGCTCACCAAGTCTCCAGCTGGTGCCAACCAGTGGGTGGCCAAGACCGATGACAAGATCATTCCACACGCCTACGACCCCAACATCAAGCTCAAGCCCACCATGTTGACCACCGATCTCGCCCTTCGCTTCGATCCTGAATTCGACAAGATCTCCCGCAAGTTCCTCGAGAACCCCAAGCTGCTCGACGATGCCTTCGCTCGCGCCTGGTTCAAGCTCCTCCACCGTGATATGGGCCCACGTTCGCGCTGGTTGGGACCAGAAATTCCCAAGGAGGTCTCCATCTGGGAGGACCCAATTCCAGACCCACCAGCCCAGACCATCAGCGAGTCGGACGCCGAGGCTCTCAAGAAGCAGATCCTCAGCTCTGGCGTTGCCCCACAGAAGTTGATCGCTGTCGCGTTCGCCGCATCCTCGTCCTACCGTGGCAGCGACAAGCGTGGTGGCGCCAACGGTGCACGTATCCGCCTCGAGCCACAAAAGAACTGGCAGGTCAACAACCCAGCACAGGTGCAGGAAGTGGTCAGTGCATTGGAGAAGATCCAAAAGGACAGCGGCAAGCAGGTCTCGATCGCTGATCTCATCGTTCTCGCTGGCTCTGCTGCCGTTGAGCAGGCATCCGGCCTCAAGGTCCCATTCACACCCGGCCGCACCGATGCTTCGCAAGAGCAGACCGATGTGGAGTCCTTCTCCCACCTCGAGCCAGCTGTGGACGGATTCCGCAACTACGGCCAGTCGACCAACCGCGTGACCACCGAGCAATTCCTCGTCGACCGCGCACACCTCCTCACCCTCTCCGCACCAGAGACGGCCGCCCTCATCGGTGGTCTCCGTGTGCTGAACCAGAACTGGGACGGCTCACAGCACGGTGTCTTCACCAAGCAGCCTGGCACACTCACCAACGACTTCTTCAAGAACCTGCTCGACAACAACACCGAGTGGAAGTCGGCAGGCGGCGAAGTGTTCGAGGGCATCGACCGCAAGTCGGGTCAGAAGAAATGGACTGGCACACGTGCCGACCTCATCTTCGGCCACCACCCCGAGTTCCGCGCCATTTCCGAAGTGTACGGCGCCGCCGACGGAGAGGCCAAGTTCAAGCAGGACTTTGTCAACGTTTGGGTGAAGTTGGCCAACAACGACCGATTTGATCTGACTTCTGCCGCAAGTAAGTCGAAGCCGCGATTGTAATATGCATCTGCCACTGTTCCCGATCAAGGTATGATGGGGGCGTTCTTCTTCACGCGTGTGCTTGATTCCATCATGGCATGTCGAGGATTGGTGCTGACCAGTTTCTTGTTGCAGGGAAGTAAACGATGCGATCGATTTAGATTGGACGATGATTCACGATGAATGAAAGAGGTTGTTGATGTGACAGGACGGGAATGACATCTCTGCTACCACTTGCACTGGCGAGGTGGGTAGTATTATAAAAGAAGATATCCTCTTTGTGAAATGAAATGAAAGTACGACAATTTGTTCAAACTGTTTCTCCCTCATCTCTCCCAAATAGGCATGAAACCTTTCAGCTTGGTCGCTACACTGTCGGGCTCCTTGGCTGATTACGGCTTGGGCTGTGATAATGGCTATGCTGTCCCCACATTCCAACTGCTTTGCCACATTTCTAAATCTCTCCTCTCCGTGACGTGGTATATGGCTTTGTTGAAGAGAACAGAATGGAAAGTAAATATACCTGCCCCCTCCTTCTCCGGGGCTTCGATGTTTCCGAGATGTGAGGAGTGAAATGTCTCACGCAGCCTTAGCTTCTGAGTGATTTGTCTGCCAGTGTACTTACTTAATGAATTGGCTCAACTTTGTCGATAGCTAATCGGCTGGGAAAATTGGGATCTCGATGAAAAGGGATTGACATTGTGGGGCAGATATGGTAAGTACGAGAGACGTCGAAGGAGGGTTGATGATGATGGATGGATGGGGGACTTGGCTGGTGTGGTCGTGCTAGGGAAGAAGGAGTATTTTGAGAATTTGTGGGAAAGAAAAAGTGGTTGATAAGGTGGAGGAAGGAGGAGGAGAAAAGGAGGAGAGGATTGGGAGAGGGTGGGTGGTTTGGTTTGGTCTTGAGATGTTTGTTTGTGAGGAGCGAGATATAGAGGGGTTTGAGGAAATTGTGAGATGGAGGGGACGTGGAGGGCGGAAAGGAAGAGAAGGGACAGATTAGATGGAAGTAGGGTTGATATGCACGGGATGGGCTCGTGTAGATGCGAGAGGAGACAGAATGCCAATGGTGGTTCTCAATGGTATTTCGATCATGGTCAAAAACGGAGCAGGCCATGCGCGGCGATGAACGTCTCTCGTCGAGGATGGCGAGGCATTGAGCTGAGATACCGAGTGAGGAGAAGTGACAGGACGGCTTGTCTTGAATGCTAGTTCTTGTTCACGAAGACTTGAGAGCGATTGATCCTCATTCTGGCGCGGAGAAAAGATCGAAGGGGTAGGATGGTTGGTCGTCATTGAGCAGCATCAGCTTCAGTTTCTCCGCTCCTCGGATCATCTGAATGCTATCAAATGTTCTGACGCATGGAAGATATTACGGCTGGCGGGTCAGAGTCACTCCGTGTGAGTTTCCCAGGCTCAGAAGTATCTACTATACATATCTTGTGACAGCCACGGGGACGCGAGGACTTGCCTGGGATGTTACGGACTTCGGTCGACTGCGAAAATCCGATCTGCTCTTGAATTTTCGAAAGATGTCCGTGTCGATACATTCCTCTCCACTTCAATGTGTGCTATTCTTGGGCTTGGTCGTTGACTTCTCGCCGTGTGGCCAGATATAGTCTTCGCCCACTATGGACTGATGTCTGGTGTGCTCTCAATCGGTGACCACGTCGTGCGCGTTTGGACAGACCGCCGTTCTCGAGCTCGCGAAAGCTCTGCCCTACACATATGAGTTACCGGAAGCAGGAATGCAGTGTCACACGTAGCAATATAGATCCGATCCTGCGGCAATCTTGCCGTGACTCAACCATGCCGCCGCGTCGCTTGGACATGAGCTTGGCGAGATATCAACACGTGGATCCTGGTTCGATGTGCCCGTATCTGGTCTATGTGCGACACAGTCTTCCAGAAACAGCAAAGAAGGAGAATGTCCTTGCGTCGTATAGTGCCAAGATCAGCGAGACAGAAATAGTTCGAGCCTCCAGATTTCTGATGAAGCCTTCTCCGCAGCCGTGCGAAGGTCCGGGGATATGCCGGGGAAGAAGACGCATCCGCAACGCGCGTAGGGAGGTTGCTGTACTTTGTACTCTGGCGACGATACTCGCAGTCTGCATTCCTCCCGGCACCGAAGTCGCGTGTTTCTGGCCTGGACTGCCGATCCGAGGTGCCATGCGCTGCCATGCACACGTGTTCCGCGACCAAGCATCGCTCCGACCGACAACCAAGCGAATCAAGACGACTGAAACGGCAGAGTGGATGCCCGCCAAGAGCAGATGCCCAGCCTGACCCCTCCGCGCTTGCCCCAATACAGAGCGCAGTGGCTATTGGCCCGAGCAAGCGAAGAGTCGGAAAAAGACTTCACTCTGCTACTGCTGACCAACTGACACCTTCTGGACCGCCCTTCACTCCCGCCGACGGCAACTCGTTTCGTCTGGCGTATTTGAGGTCCGTCGTTCCCTGGTCCTGGTTCCATCTTACTTCCCCAAATCTCCGAACCCCCGATTTCTTTCCCCAGATTTCTGACTGCCCCAGCTGTTTGCGCGTGTCTCATCTCAGCGCATGGCAGTCCATCAGAGGCACCGCGTATAACTATCCATCCATCGAGGGGCGACTTGTGGAAGGGGAGAGCGCGACAAGATGATTTCCATCCCCAGCGGAGGGGACGAGAAGACGGGTCGCGTCGCAGAGCACAATGGATCTGATGTAGGGTCAGGGCAGTAAGTTCACTCGACCGTGGATCAGCGATTACACCTTGACTCTGACACTGTTTCAGCAGCGAGACCACGCCCGAGGTGCTTCTGGATCCCGCAGCCGAGAAGAGGTTGCGCAGAAAGATCGATTTGTGCATTGTGCCCACCGTGGCCTTGCTTTACCTCTTTTGCTTCATCGATCGCGCGAATATCGGTGAGTCTACCTCATCTCGATCCTTTCTCTGAAATATGCATGCTGACCACGGCACCAGGCAATGCACGTCTGGCTGGTTTGGAGAAGGACCTCGGTCTGACGGGCTACGACTACAACTTCGTCCTCACCACCTTCTACATCAGCTACATTGTGTTCGAAATTCCCTCCAATCTCGCCTGCAAGTACTTTGGCCCAGGATGGTTCATCCCATCCATCTCGCTCGGCTTTGGCGCTGCCTCTGTGGCATGCGCTTTCACACACGATAGGGCGCAGATCGCAGGTGTGCGTTTCGTACTCGGCCTGTTCGAAGCTGGCATGCTTCCCGGAATCGCGTACTACCTCTCTCGATGGTATCGCCGCACCGAGCTCGCCTTTCGTCTGGCGCTGTACATTGTCATGGCTCCGCTCGCCGGAGCGTTCGGTGGTCTCCTCGCGTCAGCCATTCTCACACTCGACAGCTTTGGCACTCTCCGTAGCTGGCGCATGATCTTCGCCATCGAAGGTGTCATCACCATCGGCATCTCTCTCATCGCGTTCATCACCCTCACCGACCGCCCTGCCACTGCTCGATGGCTCACTCCCGAGGAAAAGGCCCTCGCCGAGGCACGTATTCGCTCCGAACGCGTCGGCAGCACGGAAGTCCTCGACAAGATCGACACCAAGAAGATTCTCCTTGGAATCTTCAACCCCGTCGTCCTGGCCACATCCCTCATCTTCCTCCTCGACAACATCACCGTCCAAGGCCTCGCCTTCTTCGCCCCTACCATCGTCCGAACCATCTACCCCGGCAAGACCGTCGTGCAGCAGCAACTCCGCACCGTACCTCCATACATCGTCGGTGCAGTCGCCACTCTCGTCATCCCCTACTTCAGCGGCAAAACCGACCGCCGCGTCGTCTACTTCATCGGCTCCGCCCCCCTCATGATGATCGGCTACATAATGTTCCTCGCCTCCACCGACGGCGAAGTCCGCTACGGCGCAATCTTCATCATCGCCATCGGCGCCTTCTCCTTCGGCTCTCTCTGCAACGCTCAAGTCTCCGCCAACGTCGTCACCGATACCGCACGCTCTTCCGCCATCGGCACAAACGTCATGTTGGGTAATGTCGGAGGTCTGATTTCTACGTGGGCGTTTTTGCCGTTTGATGGACCTAATTACCCGATTGGTAACGGATTGAATTTGGCGACGAGCAGTACGATTTTGATTTTGAGTATTGCGTTGTGGTTTTGGATTCGATGGGATAATGGGAAGAGGGCGAGGGAGCATCAGGTTCCGGAGCAGGAGTTGGAGGGGATGGGGAGGAGGGAGATTGAGGATTTGGATTGGAAGCATCCGAGGTTTAGGTGGAGGGAGTAGAGTCCACTGCTTGTTTCTCCGCGTGTGAGCAGCCTTGAAAGGCGACGGGGGTGGATACTTGGTTGGAAGAAGACATGGTTCTAATGCAGAGAGTTCCTTTTTGAGACTTACATGTGTCGTAGGTTCACGTGCCTGGCTGCTACTTCCTCCGTCTTCTCTCGTGGTTTCCCACGTAAATGAACCACCCCTCTGATCGCCAATGAATGGAAGAGACTATGTTATCCAAACCTCGAACCCGCCGCCGGTGTGCATCAAAAGCAATCACATTATGTGGAGCAGATGAAATCCACACTTCCGGGATCCCTTTTTTTTTTGGCTCTCTCTTTTTCCTGTGCCCTTGGATTCTGTTTTATTTTTTGTTAGATTCAATCTTTGCTTGTCTCTATAATGAAACGATTCCAGTATATTATATCTCTGCTCTATTCCCTTTGCTCCTTCTTCTTCTTGTCCTCCCTCTTCTGCTCGGCCAACTTTCTCGCTTTCCGTTAATCTTCCGACGATCTATTTAGTCCAGCTTTTTGGTTTCGAAAGCAAAACGGAAAGAGATTTGGAGGAGATTCATATCGGCTCGAAGATTTGATCTCGGTGTGGTGAGTGGTTGAGAAAACGTCTGTAAACTAATGCATGCTCGCAATCTATAGTAACGGCAGCTGTTGCATTGTCACTACCCATAGCAGAATTACAGTCTGATGCCGCGATTTACCATCCCATCTTTCGTTTCCAATTCTTTCCGTGGAGGAACGCACGCAATTTAAGTTTTGTGTGGAGCTTCCCTTCTGCTGCACTCTCAGACTCTGACATAACAGGGGCCAGTCTGCGACTCCGCGTCACACGAAGCTCTGTCCTTGTCCGATAGTTGACTTCTGTCATGTACTTTGAGCACATCCGTGTTCGAGGCTTTGTGTTTTCTGGTCCAGACATTCAAACCCGCCTTGGTGCCCTTCGTCACCGGCAGACCAGCGTGCAAGGTCGTCTCAATGCCGGTACCATTGGAGTGATAATTGTTCCAAAAGACTGCGTTGCCCACGATCGGACGGAAACTGATCCCTGGGAATCGCGCTTCGCAGTTCACCAATCCGCGCTCACACCATTCCGAAGCCGTCTCTCCGGGCCAGTTGGGAAAGTTGGTCTGGGGCGCGGGTCAGCATCGGATCGATGGAGCAAATCACTTCGACCACCTGTAGTCACACTAGGGGAACGTACCTCGCCTCCCTGACACTGTCCTCCCATACCATCATCGCATGCCACGTACACGAAGAATGTCGTCACTCGAGGGTTGATCAATGCTTCATGCCAATCCAAATGGTGTTGGATGTGGTCCTCCATGCCGTACTTGACGACGAAGATTTCTTCCACATTCTCCACGGGCGTGAAAGCTTGAAAGTCGGCAACGCGTTTGCGGATACATGCCACAACCGGGTCGTAGGGGATTCTCGCCGAGACGGATTTCCGGAAGTCGCTGTCGTACTTTTTGCCGTCAGGCTGTACGACTGCTGATGGCTTGTAGTGGGGTTCTGCCATGCGCAGTACGTGGGCAGCCTCGTCCCGCGTGAGTAGTTGTTCAACGTAGATCATCAGCGGGTCCATCGAGATGAGTCGGCTTTGGGGACGATGCTCGGGGCAGCCGTCGGTGTAGTGGTCAGCCAGAGACGGCGAACTCTCGGTCGAGGTTTGCATGATGTTCACTCCAGACGTTGTAGCTCCCGCTCGGAACCATTCATGCACGTCCTCGACCTGCTGCTTCAAGGGGTTCGGTGACGACATGTCGGTGGTCAAGAAGACGAGAGCAATCAGTACGGAGAGTGTCGCACAGACCGTACCCCTCGTGACGAAGTCCGGTGACCCCGTGGTACTGACCGTTCCTTGCAATCCAATGCGGCCACCCATATTGGATCGTCTGGACGAGCAATCCGCATATGCAGTGCGAGAGATGATGTCTCCGCTGGCTTGATCACCAAGAACGAGCGAGGACTTGTACTCCAGTGGCCACCTCCACGCAGGTCGTGAACTAGCGTCCTCTTCTCCCTATCCATATTGAGCATCGATGCTTGAGCTCCAACTGGCATGCTTGCTTGTGGAGCAGGCAGAAGGCGTGGCATTTCCTCGCGATGGCCACGATCACTTGATTTTGCAAAAAGGTTCTTTGTGCACACCATGCTTGATCATTCGACAATATCTCCACCGCACAGTCGAGTGGGGCGAGGCGATATCCTTCGTTGACAACGCGGTTGGCCCATCGCAAGAAGTGGGTCACTCGTTCTTCTGATGTACTCACGCCACTTGACGATTCCTGATCAGATATCTGCTCACCGACTGGCATACAAACACGTGTTGTAGACAGGTTCTGCCGATGACCCCATGGCGCAGCCGTGGAGGAGATATCCCAGAGTGGCATTCGAGTGCGGCAAGGGATGTTATTCTATAGTCCGAAAGTGTCGGGCCAACTTTAAACCCCATTTTTCGCACAATTTAGCGACAGCCTCTAATGAAAATTAATTGTGCAGGGGTCACATTAATTTTCATTAGGGTTACATTAATTTTCATTAGAGGCCGTCGCTAAATTGTGCGAAAAATGGGGTTTAAAGTTGGCCCGACACTTTCGGACTATAGAATACTGGGGATGGGTGGTCTTCACTCTGAATAGCGTTGGAGAGAATGCATGCGACACGAAACTTTCTGCATAGTACTAAAAACAACTTCCGACGTCGTCTCATTGCCAGTCAACCTCGTGACCTCTTACTCAGGCCGCTATTACACGCTTCGTTCGGCCGGTTTTTCCCGCATCTGCTGCTTTATCGTATCTCATCATATGTCTTTGAGACTTTCGAGGCACACGCTTGCCGCGGTCTTCCAGGATGCCACGAGGCTGACACAGTACCAGGGGATCCTAGCTCAATAGTCCATGTCTGCCATTGACGTTTAATTGCCTCAAATAATGGCTCTACGTCGCTTCAAACCAGCATCAAATGCTCGCAAAGGGTTTGCTGTGTGTCGGCCGTCATCGATCCCTTGTAAGTTTCAGTCAGGAATACGTGCTGCCGTCCAACGCACGTCTTTACAGGTCAACAGCGAATAGCAATCTGGATACGCGCCAGGGGATCTCTCCTTGACTGAGTACGTCTTCCCGGCACGAAACCAG